TCCAGGGAGGTTTGGATGCCCTACCTTTCCCCTTTGTGGGAATGTATTTGTTCTGTCCCTGGAACTATCTCCTCCTTGAAGGCTTCCCACTGCTTGTTAGCTGTTTTATCTGTCAATCTTTCTTTCCAGTCCACCGTGGGTGGGTCCCTTTTTGACTCACTGAAATTAGCCCTCTTGTATCTTCACCTTTGATTGTTCCCTGTCCCTTCCATAAATACTCTAAACCTAATGATGTTGTGATCACTGTTGTCCAGATGCTCTCCTACTGAAACCTGTTCTACTTGCCCCACTCCATTCCCCAGAACTATATCCAGCATTGCTTCCTTCCTCGGTGGGCTGGAAACATACAGAAAGTTATCCTGCACACATTTCAGGAATCCTTCAACCTCCTTGCCCTTTACACTGTTATTTTGCAAGTCCATGTTAGGATAATTGAAGTCCCCCATTATCACTACTCTATTGGTTTTGCATCTTTATATCTGGTTGCAGATTTGCATGTCTATCTCCTTCCCACTATTTGGTGGTCTATAGTATACACCTAACAGAGTAACAGCTCTTTTTCTGCTCCTTAACTCTAACCAAATAGATTCTGTTTTTGGACCCTCCAGGACATCATCCCTTTTCAGGATCATAACTGTGTCTTTAATCAATATTGCCCCCACTCCTTTTTTTTTAACCTTCCCTATCCCTCCTGAATACATTGTAACCAGGAATATTCAGCTCCCATTCCTGCCCTTGTTTGTGCCAGGTCTCCATTATTGCCACTACAATATAACCCCATGTGGCAACTTGAGCCACAGCTCACCAATCTTATTTGTCACATTCCGTGCATTTACACACTTGCACTCCAATACCAACTGAGTCTGCATTTCTCCCCGTCTAATCCCTCCTTTTTCTGGACTACTCCTTATTACTTTGCTATTCGTCTCTCCCAGCCATCTATGTAACTAGTTTCTCTGCCCTGATGCTACATCCTGATTCCCTTCCCTCCTTGAAATTCGTTTAAGCCTTTCCCCACAGCACAAGTTAACCTCCCTGCAAGGATATTGGTCCCAGCTCTGTTCAGGCATAACCCGTCCACATTGTACAGGTCCCACCTGCCTCAGAATTGGTCACAATGTTGCATGAACCCGAAGCCCTCCTTTCTGCACCATTTCTCCAGCCGTGCATTCATGTGTTTGATCCTGCTGTTTTGATACTCACTCGTACGAGGCACTGGGAGTAATCCAGCGATCACCACCTTTGAGGTCTTACTCTTTAGCTTTTCCCCTTGCTTCTGATACTCTCCCTGCAGGATCTCAGCCTTTTTTTTTGTTCCCTATGTCATGGATCCCAACATGGACCACAACTTCTATATGTTCCCCTTCCCCCTGTAGAATATTTTGCACCCATTCCATGATGTCTTCAACCCTAGCACCAGGGAGGCAACATACTATGCAAGTCACATTTTTGGTTGTAGAAATGCCTGTCTACTCCTTTCACTGTTGTACCCCAATGACAATTGCATTAACATTCTTCCCTGTGTCCTCCTGTGCATCCATTTTCTTTTGACTCCTCTCCCCAGAGGTGACCACCTCCTGAAACATTCGGTCCATGAACTCTTCAGCCTCCCGTATGCTATGTAGTGACACCAGCCTCTCCTCAAGCTCAGAAACCCTGATCTCAAGCAGCCCTAGGTACTTCCTACACATGTTTGTCCAGGGCACACAAAGCATCCTAGAGTTCCCACATTGTGCATGCAACCAGTCTCAGCTGCCCTGCCATATTCTCAGACATGTTTTATATTATTTTAATATAGCTTTTATATATTTTATAATTATGCACCTCTTTCCCACTCTCACCAAATTCCTTAACAGAATTCTCATTCAGTTCTCTGCTCAAGTGAGGAGCTCGCAATTCTCCCCTTTATATAGGCCTCTGACACAACCAGTTTCAACTGGTCAGCAAATAATTAACTAATCCTTAACACCTGACCTGTGACTAACTGCCAATTTGACTTGTTTACTTGTTTGCTTGAAGAGTTCTCTCTTGCTCAAGAAACAATTCCCACTCTTTTGCTAAAAGAACGTTCTCTCTCGCTCTCTAGTTTTCTCTTGCTCAAGAATTCCCACTCTCACCAAATTCCTTAACAGATTTCTCACTCTGTTCCACCTCACTCAGTTCCCTCACCATGCTGCTGGGCTCTCTGCTCAAGCCTCAAATCAAATCCAGCCCAGTGCACCTTCGCTGCCCAGGATAGGGGTTTAGACTCTCTACTCAACCATTGACAGCCACACATTCAGGCACTACATACCAAAGCTTTAGAACTCTCTCCCTCAATCCCTCCCTCTTGGTCCCTCCTTCCCCTCTTTTAAATCACGATTGAAGACCTTCTTCTTGAACCGTGCTTATGCATTTGCATTTTTTTTGATATAGCGCTTTTCACGTCGGGAGGACGTCCCAAATCGCTTCACAGAACACACTGTAAAGTGAATTGACTGTATATTTGTGGGCGAACGCGGCAGGCAATTGCGCACAGCAATGTCCCACAAACAGTCGTAGATTGAAAATGACCAATTTAATTGTTGTTTTTGGTTTTTTGGAGGGATTATTATTAGGCGTGTGGAGTAAGGAAACTTGCCCAAGGTTTCGCCCTGCCTGGAATTGAACTCAGGTCTCTCACTTGCAAAGCGAGTGCTCTAACCACTGAGCTACAGGACTCTACCTCCTCCTTCCACCTGGGTACCAGAGGCCACTTAACATTGTCCCACCCCCCTCTCCCAGGCAGCGAGAGTCAAACCCAAGAATCTCCAAGGCATTGAAGTATTCCAAATCATTCAATTGAATGCAACAGGGATCAGCTCCACAGGCATTCCTTGAGGCTGACTCCATTCCATTACCAATCAGTAAACTAGCTGGAATGCGATTTATAATAAATTCCCTTTTCAGCCAGTTTCTTTGCTTCATGGAATATCCATAAAAACAATTTCTTGTTAATTCCCAATACTAAATAAGTGCCAATCTATCTTATTCATGTCAGCTACGTCCGAACATCAGATACAGATATCCAATGATAGATAATAATAATTATAATCCTTGTGTTTGATAAAAAGCCTTATCATGTCATTGAAACATCTAAAAATACTTCATAGTAAAGTGTATTGACTGTATTTTGTGGGGAAAATGAGGCAGCCAATTGCACACAGCAATGTCCCACAAACAGTCATGGAGAGAGTGACCAATTTTATTTAAGGAATTGCTGGCCAGGACACCGGGAGAGAGAAACTCCCTTCTCTTTTCGAATAGTACCATGGGATCTTTAATGTCCACCTGAATAGGCAGACGGGATCTTGGTTTAACATCTCATCTGAAGGATGGTATCTCCAGCAATGCAACACACCCCCAGCACTGCATTGGAGTATCATCTATGTGATTCACAGCAGTCTTAAGTGGTTCCACTGCACCAGGCTGACACACAATTCTTTCTGACATCAATATTCCTGCAGATACAAAATTAGTAACACTGGGACGCTGACTGGGAGGAATGACTGAACCCGACAATGCGAAGGAGCTGGAGTAATATCATTAGTGACATTACTAGTAACACAAAGCATCCATTTCATACCTTTGTATCATGGAATATCCATAAAAACAATTTCCTGTTAATTCACCAGGGGTCTGTACTGGGGCCTCAACTTTTCACCATATACATACATAGCTTGGATGAAGGAAAAGAGAATTTTATATCAAAGTTTGCAGGTGACACAAAGTTAGTTTGCACAGTAAATTGTGTAGATGGGAGCAGGACATTACAAAGGGAATTAGAAAGATTAAGTGAACCTGTGTGGAGCAAAACTGTGGCAGATGGAATTCAGTGTGGGGAAGTGTGAGGTCATCCACTATGGATCCAAAAATAGCAAAACAGGGTATTTACTAAATGGTGAGTAACTAAGAACTGTGGAGGAGCAATGGGATTTGGATATCCTCGTACACAAATCACTAAAAGCAAGCTCACAGGTACAGAAAGGTATCAAAAAGGTTAATGGGATGTTAGTCTTTATCTCAATGGGGGTTGCAATATAAAGGAGAGGAAATGATGCTTCAACTATATAGAGCCTTGGTCAGACCCCATCTGGAGTACTGGCTTCAGTTTTGGGCACTGCACCTCAGAAGGGATATGTTGACTCTGGAGGGGATGCAGCTCAGATTCACCAGAATTATACCAGGGCTTGAAGGGTTAAATTATGAGGACGTGTTGCATAAACTTGGTCTCTATTCCCTTGAGTTTAGAGGATTAAGGGGTGATTTGATTGAGGCTTTTAAAATGATAAAGGGATTTGATAGGGTAGATACAGAGAAACTATTTCCTCTGGTAGAGGAATTCAGAACAAGGGGGCATAATCTTAAAATTAGAGCTAGGCCATTTAAGAGTGAAATTAGGAGGCAGTTTTCACCCAAAGCATAGTGGAAATCTGGAACTCTCTCCCCCAAAAGGCTGTGTATGCTGGATCCATTCACATTTTCAAGACGGAGGTGGATAGATACTTGTTAGGTCAGGATATCAAGGAATACGGGGAAAGGATGGATAATTGGAGTTGAGGTGCAGATCAGCCATGATCTTATAGAAGGGCAGAACAGGCTTGAGGGGCTGATTGGCCTACTCCTGTTTCTATGTTTCAGTCCTGTAGTTCAGTGGTTAGAGCATTCTCCTTGTAAGCGAGAGACCTGGGTTCGATTCCTGGCAGGACGAAACCTTGGGCAAGTTTCCTTACTCCACACGCCTGATAATAATCCCTCAAGAAAAATAAATCAATAAATTGGTCACTTCAATCCACGACTGTTTGTGGGACACTTCTGTGTGCAATTGGCTGCCGCGTTTCGCCCACAAATATACAAGTAAATTCACTTTACAGTATATTCTGTGAAGCGCTTTGAGATGTCTTGAAGACATGAAAAGTGCTATATCAAATGTAAGGATTATTATTTTTAGTATTATTATTAATTCAGTTCCTTTGTGTTAGAAGGGAAAAGGCAGAAAAAAGAAGAAGAAAAAAAGAGAAAAGGACCTGACTCCTGACAGGTATTGGCTGAAATGCCTGCGAAGCCCTGCATGATATTTCCACCGGGGTTCAGCCCCAACTCACTGTCTAAAGCTGGGGGTCTGCTGCATTGTTGGAGGTGCCAGACTTCGGATGTGACGTTAAACTGAGGTCCGGTTTACCGAGACTATTCCCTATGCCCCTACGTTGCTACCTCAGGAACACCCCCTAAAATTATCACCACCACTCCATTTCACCCTCTCTCTTTCTCTCCATAATTCCTGCCTCAAGCAAACACACCAAATGGGCACCTCTCCCCTCTCTGTTAGGGATGTAAAGCTGTCCCTGTAGCATTCCGAGATGTAAACCAAAATGAAGGGCTCTATATAAATACAAGTTGTTATTTTTGTTCAGTTTTTTTACACTTTCTAGTGCTTGTTTTAGGACATTTTCTCATTACTTTCCATTCCCGTCCTTCAGATGAGATATTAAACCGAGCTCCCATCGGCCTGAAGTGATGGACCTTAAAAATCCCATGCCATTATTCTAAAACCGAAGGCAGTTTCTACCGGTGTCCTGAACAACAATCCCCTGAGAGAGAAACAGAGAGAGAGAGAGAGGGAGACTGGGAGAGAGACTGAAAGAGAGAGACGGGGAGACTGGGAGAGAGACAGAGAGGGAGACTAAGAAAGAGACTGAGAGAGAGAGACAGAGACTGAGAGAGACAGAGACTGAGAGAGAGACTGAGAGAAAATATATTAAAGGAGTCCTCAACAACAACAACTTGGATTTATATAGCACCCTCCACGCCGGACGGCGTCTCAGAGCGCTTCACAGTAACGGATCCCAGGACCGAGCCAGGGGAAGGGGGAGGAAGGTGATCAAAGGTGCGATCGAAAAGAAAAGTCTTCAGCAGAGACCTGAAAGTAGGAAGAGAAGGGGCGAGGCGAAGGGAGTGAGGAAGGGAGCTCCAGAGCCTCGGGGCCTAGTGGCTGAAGGCACGGCTGCCGAGGGTGGAGCGGAGGACTCGGGGGACGAGGAGGAGGCCAGACCCGGAGGAACGAAGGCAACGGGTACTGTTTTGAGGAGAGAGGAGATCAGAGAAGTACGGGTATGCAGAGGAGTGCAGGGACTTGAATACAAGGGTGAGGATCTTGAAGTCGATCCTCTCTGGGATAGGCAGCCAGTGCAGTCTGGCAAGGACTGGGGTAATCGGGGAGCGGAGTTTCGTGTGGGTGAGAATACGGGCGGCAGAGTTTTGAATGACTTGGATGTTATGGATGGTAGTGGATGGGAGACCAACGAGGAGGGTGTTAGAGTAGTCCAGCCGAGAGGTAACAAAGGCATGGACCAGGATTTCAGCAGCTTTGGGGGAGAGGTATTGGTCAGTCCTCCCACTGAGTCCTCCCAAAAGATGTCCTCCCACAGGAGTCTCTTTATCTGCACTCCCAGCTGAGTATAGATAAAGATGAAATGTCTGTCTGTGTGTCAATCTACTTTCCATATTGGATCCTTTGGTTGCAAGCGAAGCTGCAATGGGTACAGCTAGTTTAAAATAAATAAAGAGTCTTGTTAGTCTGCACACCGAAAACAACAACTTGCAATTATAGAGCGCCCCTCACGCAGGGTAGTGAATCAAAGCGCTTGACAGTGGAGGAACATGACACCAAGCCGGGGGAGGGGGATGGAGTGGTGAGGTGTAGGCGCAATCAAATAGGCAGGTGCGACCTGAAGATGGTGAAGGATAGAGCAAGAGTGTTTCAGAGTTTCAGGGCGTAGTGGCTGAAAGCGTGGCCACCAAAGGTGGAATGGAGCGCACAGGGGACATGCAGAAGGCCGGAGCCAGTCGAACCGAGGCAGTGAGTTGTGGGTTGTGGGGTAAACAGCTTGGAGAGGTAGTGAGGTGCCAGGGCATGAATGGATTTCAAAACGAGTGTGAGATCTTAAAATTGATCCATTCGGCGATAGGAGCCTGGCAAGAACTGGCGTGAAGGGGTTCAGAGTTTAGTGTAGGTGAGTATGCAGACGGCAGAATTTTGGATTAGTTGGATCCTGTGCATGGTGGAGCTGGAGAGACTGGCAAAGAGGGCATTTGAGAAGTCGAGTCGAGAGGGGTTGAATGCGTGGAAGAGTGTTTTGGTTGCACCTGGGGTAAGATACGGTCGGAGGCAGGCAATGTAGCGGAGGTGAAGGAAGGTAGTCCTGGTTAGGGACCAGATGTGGGGAAGGAAGGAATAGCCATAGGTTGACCTGACGCCTAGGTTGGGCACTGGTTCTGGATGTCTGAAGGCTAGGCCGGGAGGTTAAGGAGGTCAGAGCCGCAGGATAGAAGACGTTGACGAGAGCCAATGAGTATGGCTTCTGTCTTGTCAACATTAAGTTGTAGGAAGTTTTCATTTATCCAGGCCCTGATGTCCGCCAGACAAGCCGTGTGAACATTGCGGACCTGGAATCGCAGCTGCAGGAGGAGAAGTAGATTTGTGTAACATCCACATACACAAGTTTGCCCCATGACTGCGGATGACATCGCCAAGAGGGAGCATATAGATGAGAAAGAAGAGGGGGCCAAGGATGGAGCCCTAGGGTACACCACAGGTGACCGAGCGGGGGTGGGAGGAGAAACCATTTTAGGAGATAAAGTGAAGGTGGTTTGTTAGGTAGAACTCGAACCAGACTAGTATGGTCCCTCTAAGGTGGATGAGGGAGGAGAGACGGTGGATGAGATCAACCCTGTTGAATGTGGCAGACAGGTCAAGAAGGACGAGAGAGCAGAGGGAGCCCTGGTCACAGAGCGAGGACGTCGTTTGTGACCTTGACAAGTGCCTTCTCTGTTCTGTGGGCCAGGCAGAGACCAGACTTGAGGGGCTTGAGGAGGGAATGGAGAGAGGCGAGAGCAAAACTGGTTAGTGACAATGTGCTCCAGAGCTTTCGCAAGGAAGGTTGGTTGGAAATGGGTCAGTAATTTGTGAGGTTGGAGGGGTCAAGGGTGTTTTTTTNGAGGAAGGAAATGATGACAACGGTTTTAAGGGGGCCGTAAGCACAGCAAGTATGTGCAGTGCCTGACCTAAAACTGCCTTTCAATCTGTCCAGGACTATTGAAGGCCTCTATCAGGAACTTGTTGAAGAAAGGATTATTGTACGGCCTATGAATATACCACTCTCGGATTTTAAAGGTAAGGTGAGATGTTGGAAAATAAAGGCAAGGTGAAACATCAGATATTGAAGGTAAGGTGAGATGTTGGATATTAAAGGTAAGATGAGATGTCTTACCTGGGAGCTGAAATGTTGAAATGCTTTCTGATTGAAGCAGACTTGTTTCTGCCATTTAATGGCAAGTGTCCTCATGCTTTATATTGTTCTCCTTGTGAGTATTACAGGCTATTTGTCCATGGGTGTGAGTGTGGTTGGGGGAACACAATCAAGTCTAACCCTATCCACATACACACACAAGATCACAACATTTAGTTGGGATGAAGAAGGCCATTTGATCTCAAATTTCCAGATTACCCACCCACACCCTCCTTTCCAGTAAAGGTAATTGGATAGAGGAAAACCTAACCCGGGATCTGAGGGCAATCGTGATTCGGAGCTGCTGTCCAGGCTGAGATCAGCTAACCTAGGATACAGCAGGATTGGAGCCTGTGACCTAAACATACCTCCCAGCGCAGTACCTGTCTAGACTTTCACCCACTGGGTCAACGGGGAAGCTCAAAGCAGTCTTTTCTTATCTTTGACCGTTCTCATTTTTTAATTTTTTTTATTTTTATTTATCTTTATTTGGGTGATTGTTGGCCAGAACACCTGGAGAGAGAAACTTTTTTAAAAATTTTTTTGCTTTGAGACGTCTAGAAGATTTAAAAGCGCTATATCAAATGAAAGGATTATTATTATTATTATTCTCTCAGTTCATACTGTAAGATGGGCATGGGCTGAATTCATCCCCAAACTTGGACCTTGTGTAAAGCTGCTTTTTAATGTACAGTGTAGCTCACTCTATACTGTCCAATACACCCAAGAGAATTGAGGGACAAGCATGAGGCCAGAATCAGACAAGCGAAAGGGGCAAGCAGCGGAATGGGGTGTGAAACCAAATACCTGTGATAAGAGTGTACTGACAGTTATTTGTTCTACAGGTGACTACAGTTACCTGGGCAGTGTCCTCCGGCAGGCAGCCATTGAGCCCATGCCTTCCCTGTCAGATGTCAGACAGCTGATCACACTATATGGGGTTCTGCCCCTGGGTAAGAGCCTTGAACAATGTCTGTAGACTTGGTATTTCAAAGAAACACAAGGTTTGTTTCCCCCCTAATCTTCTGTTTTATATTCCCCTACCTCAGCCAAAGGTTACCCCCAAATATCTGTTAACTGGCTGCTCATCTCAAAGGCGTTTGCATTTGCATTTGGGATGTGAAGCAGTGACCTATCACATCATTGAGATGTCTCAGAGTGCTTCACGGGATATATTGTAAAGTGGAGTGACTGTGTATTTTGTAGGCGAAACACAGCACCCAGTTGTGCACAGCAATGTCCCACAAACAGCCATGGAGTGAGTGACCAAACTGGTGATTGTTGGCCAGAACACCTGGAGAGAGAAACTCCCTTCTCTTTTTCAAATAGAGCCATGGGATCTTTAACGTCCAGCTGAAAAGGCAGATAGGACCTCAGTTGACACCTCATCTGAAGGACAGCAAATCTGACAATACAATACACCTGTACTACTGCATTGAGGTGTCAGCCTAGACAATATGATTCTGAGTCCCGACGTGGAGCTTGAACCCTCAACCTTCTGACTGGGATGTTGCAGGTAACAGATCAGCTCTATAAATGCAAGATGTTGTTGGTGTGTGACTTGTGATGAATTCCCATGCCCGCTTGGGTTTGGTCACTCGTTACACTACAACAACTTCTTTTTATACAGCGTGCTTCATAAAACATAGAGTCTTGGAGCACTTCACAGTAAGAGGGCTGTACGCCGAACAAGGTGGGAGGGGACAGTGCAGTCAAAGAGGTTGACCCTAATTAATAAGACCCTCGTTCATTATTTCATCATGCACAGGCTTGACTGTGCTAACTAACCCCCTGCTCGCCCGGGTTTCCAACTCTTCCCTCCACCCGCTGCAGATTATTTAGAACTCTGCAGCTTGTATCGTCTCTTTCACTAAACTCCGTGAGCTAATCACTCCACACTTGCGCAGCTTCACTGTCTCCCCATCCCCTAGAGGATCCAATTCAAGAACCTGATGCTCACTTTTTTGAACAACAGCAACAAAAGTATATTTGTAAAGCACCTTTCACGTCTGGAGGACGTCCCAAGGAGCTGGACAGTCAGGGATCAGGATGGGGCCAGGGTTGGGATGAGGGAGGGCAGAGAGGGTAGGAGGGCGGCTGAAGGCATGCTCGAAAAGGAGGGTCTTGAGTCATGGTTTGAAGGAGGCAAGAGAGGTAGCGAGGCAAAGGGATTGTGGGAGTTCCAAAGAGTGGGGGCAGAGAGGCTGAAAGCTCGCCCGCCGATGGTAGGGCGGGAAACCTGGAACAGGCTGGAGCCTGCTGAGCAGAGGGAGCAGACAGGCTGATAGGGGTCAGCAGGTCAGAGATGTAGGAGAGGGCAAGGCCATGGAGGGCCTTGAAAGTGAGGACGAGTATTTTGAATTCTATCCTCTGAGGGATGGGGAGCCAGTGGTTGGTGAGGATGGGGGTGATGGGGTCACGGAGACTGCTGTGGGAGAGGACACAAGCTGCAGAGATCTGCAGCTTATGAAGGGAAGAGTTGGGGAGGCCGACAAGGAAAGAGTTTCTGCAATCGAGCCTTGAGGTGATGAATGCGGGTATGAGGGTTTCGGCGGCCTGAGGGATGAGGCAGTGGCAGAGTCAGGCAACGTTGCAGAGGTGGGGGAAGACAGAACAGGTCATGGCACGGATATGGGGAAGAAAGGACAGTTGAACGTCAAACAAGATGCCCAAATTCCTGACTGGCTTGGTGAGGTGGGAGTGTGCAACCATGGATACTGATCCTGCCAGTGCCTGAGGCGTGGAGGCGCTGGCACAAGCCAATTGGGTGGGTCTCGGTCTTGCTGACATTCAGCTGGAGAAAGTTGGCTCTCATCCATGACTTGATGTCAGACAGTCAGTCTGTCAAGAAGTCAGTTGTCCTGGAATCGAAGGTGGAGGCAGAGAGATAAGAGTTGGGTGTCGTCCGCTTACATGTGGAAGTTGACCCCGTGTCTACGGATGATGTTACCAACGGGAAGCTTGTAGAGGTTGAAGAGAAGGTGACCGAGGACAGAGCCCTGAGGAACACCACATGAGGAACCCGGTTGTTCATCGATTGGTGGATCGCTTTCCAGAGATAATAATCCCTTAAAACATTTTTTAAAAATTGTTCACTCAATCCACGACTATTTGTGGGACACTGACTGCTGTATTTTGCCCACAAAGTACAGTCAATTCACTTTATAGTATACTAGCTGTACCCGTTGCAGTTTCACTTGCAACCAAAGGATCCAATATGGAAAGTAGATTGACACACAGACAGACATTTTGTTTAGAAATTATGCTCAGCTGAGTGAACTTCTGTGGGTCCAGTCCTGACCAGGACTGTCTTCCTCCACCTCCGCCACATTGCCCGCCTCCGACCATATCTTACCCCAGATGCAGCCAAAACACTTGTCCGTGCATTCAACACCTCTCGACTCGACTTCTCAAATGCCCTCTTTGCCGGTCTCCCCAGCTTCACCAGGCACAAGATCCAACTGATCCAAAACTCCGCCACCTGCATACTCACCCACACTAAACTCAATACCCCCTTCACACCAGTTGTTGCCAGGCTCCACTGACTTCCTATCGCTGAATGGATCAATTTTAAGATCTCACACTCGTTTCGAAATCCCTTCATGCCCTGGCATCTCACTACCTCTCCAACCTGTTTACCCCACAACCCACTGCCTTCGTTTGATTGCTTCCGGCCTTCTGCATGTCCGTTGTGTGCTCCATTCCACCTTTGGTGGCCACGCTTTCAGCCACTACTCCCCAAAACTCTGGAACACTCTTCCTCTATCCTTCCTCAACTTTACATTGCACCTGCCTATTCAAGCGTGCCTGTAGTCACCTCCGCATCCCTCTCCCCCCGGCTCAGCGTTGTGTTCCACCCCTGTCAAGCACTTTGAGACGCTATCCTGTATGATGGGCACTATATAATTGCAAGTTGTTTTCAGTGTGCAGACTAACAACACTCTTTATTTATTTTAAACTATCGGTACCCGTTGCAGCTTCGCTTGCAGCCAAAGGATCCATATTGAATGTAGATTGACACACAAACAGACACACAGACAGACATTTTGTCTTTATCGATACACAGCTGGGAGGACTCCTGTGGGAAGACTGCTTTAATATATTTTCTATCACAGTCTCTCTCTCTCTCAGTCTCTCTGTCTCTCTCAGTCTCTCTCGCTCTCTCTCAGTCTCTTAGTATCTTGGAACACTCCGCAGGTCAGGTAGCATCTACCTGCATCTGGATGCTGCCTGACCTGCTGAGTGTTCCCAGCAACTTCTGTTTTTGTTTCAGATTTCCAGCATCTGCAGTATTTTGCGTTTTCTTTCTCTTAGTCTCTCTCTCTCTCTCTCTCTCTCTGTTTGTGGAACATTGCTGTGCGCAATTGGCTGCCACGTTTCACCCACAAAATACACAGTCAATCCACTTTACAATATATTCTGTGAATCGCTTTGAGACTTGTGAGCCTGTGTGATGGTGTGGCTTTTACAGCGTCCCAGGCTCTGCATGAGAAGGGGCCACTTGTGAAGTCCATCCTGTTGGCGGGACCTTCCGGGGTGGGGAAGACGATGCTGGTGCACGCTCTCTGTACCGAAACTGGAGCAAATCTTTTCGACTTGTCCGCCCAGAACATCGTGGGCAAATACCCCAGCAAGAGCGAGCTCAAAATGCTGGTCCACATGGTTTTCAAGGTATGGGGCAATATAGCAACCGCTCGGCATATGATCACATGACAGAGTCAGATTTGCGTAACACGTTGATTGGTAGCACTCTTGACTCTGGGTCAGAAGGTTGTGAATGAAAGCAACTTTCCTTACTCCACACGCCTGATGATAATCCCTCAAGAAAAAAATAATACTTATATCACTCAATCCACGACTGTTTGTGGGACACTGCTGTGCGCAATTGGCTGCTGCGTTTCGCCCACAAATATATAGTCAATTCACTTTACAGAATATTCTGTGAACCCCTTTGAGACATCTAGAAGGCGTGAAAAGTGCTATATCAAATGCAAGGATTATTATATAATAATGTGGTTAGACCACATTTGGAATACTATGTGTAATTCTAGGTAAAGCACCGATAGAGAGAGTATAGAGTAGATTTACGAGGATGATACTGGGTAGACATTGTTATTTGTGTTCCCAGCTTGCTCTTTCCAGTAAATCCGAGTTTGCCTTGTGTGGAGCCAGGCACTGCAGGTTTCCTCAGCAAATGCACGGTTGTTGTGTGATTTCTCGTCCATCACAAGCTGAGTTCATGGCGACTCCAGGGCACTCAGCTGCTTACAATGAAGATTTATTTTTAAAAGCAGCCAAACACAGGTCTCAGTCCAAAACCACATTAAAGACTGTTTGTTCCAAGCAGAAGGCAAATGTGATGGGTTCTTTCCTTCTCACTGTCCAACTCCCACTGAATGACCTTGTTTACGTGGAGAATCTACAGAATTTCATAATTCAGTTCAGAGACTCCAAATTGGCTGCTGAGTTTGACCTCAAGCTCCACTTTACAAAAATCCTGTGAAGTGCTTGGAGATATCTTCCTGGCGTGAAAGGCGCTGTATCAAATATGAAGATTAATATTATCACACGCACACCATTCTGTGGTGTCTGCTCACCAGGTGTCAGCCGGCAGCAGAAGCCGGCTATGTGGAGCTCTCACAGTGACCTAGTCTTGGAGATCATTGCCCACTTTCTAGTGTAAACACGAGGAGCACAAGCTCACCCTGCGGAAATGCTGCAGCCTACACCATCTCCTGCTGGCCAGTTTACGTAATGGCAGACCCAGCTCATGACAGCACTTTACAAATGTGGTGAATGACTGATCACCACTGATGCACTGACAATGTATAATACAATATCTCTCTCTCGGTGTCATTACTATTACTGTGAGCAAAGCCAGATACGTTGAAAGAGGACTTCGAATGGCAGTCATTTATTTTTTTAAAAAGTCATCTCTCGGCTAAAACAAGCTTCAGCTTAAAAAGTAAATTTATGATCTTTGTGTTCAATTTTGCCCCCATAACTGCAAAACATCTCCTGTGCTATTACTCTATCTATTACTCGCATTATTACTCTATGCTGTTATGCAGGTTTGTTAATCTGCCTGTAGCGTGACTCGCGTTGTTACTTTGTCTGTAATGTTACTAGGTTTGTTACTCCATGTTGTTCCTCAGATTGTTACTCTGTACTTATTACTCAGGTTGTTACTTAGGTTGTTACTCTGCTGTTACTTAGGTTGTTGCTCTGTGATATTACTCAGGTTGTTACTCTTTGCTATTACTCAGGTTGTTACTCTTTGATATTACTTAGGTTGTTACTCTGCGCTGTTACTTAGGTTGTTATTCTGTGCTATTACCCAGGTTGCTACGCTGCTTCAGCCATCAGTTGTGTGGATCGGTGATGCAGAGAAAACATTCTACAAAAAGGTGCCAAAGAATCAGAGGGAGGTACGTGAGGATGAGAGGCTTCACTGTAAATTATGAACAAGCAGGAACGTTAATTATTTGTCAAAGTTAATATTTGTTTACATTAATCAAAACTAGGAGATTTAACAACTCACCAAAACTGACTGAATTAACACTAGACAGGTTGTCGCTCTGTCTGTACAATTACTTATTGTAAGAATTTAAACTAGTAAAGGGTGGGAAATATATAGGTAAGAGAAACCATAAGTTAGCATTAGAAAAAGTAAAGATGGCAGTGCAGAATAGCATGCCAGATAATAGGAATATGTTAACTTGGGGTAAGAAGCTTGGCAAAGCAGATAAAGAATCGGAGAGTAGAAGAAATGGTAGGAAATTAAAAATGTTATATCTGAGTGCGCGAAGCATTCAGAATAAAACTGACTAATTAAAAGCACAGATAGACACATATGGGTACGATCTAGTACCCATCACTGAAACATGGTTACAAGGAGATCTAGGGTGGGAGTTAAATATTCCAGGGTTCTCAGTTTACAGGAAAGATAGGCACTGTGGGAAACGAGGTGGGGGGGTAGCCCTGTTAATTAGCAATGAAATGAAAACAGTGGAGAGGAAGAATCTGAAATCCGATGAGGTCGAGACAATATGGGTGGAAATAAAAAATAATAAAGGTCATAAAATATTAATGGGAGTGTTTTATGGACCCCCAAACAGTGATCACAAAATAGCACAAGGTATTAATCAAGAAATCAGTGGAGCATGTAGGAAAGGTAAAGTGATAATAGTGGGTGATTTCAATCTCCACATAGATTGGGAAAACCAAATCGGCAAAAGTAGGTTAGAAGAAGAGTTCATTGAGTGTATGAGAGATAACTTTCTAGAGCAGCATGCCGAGGAACCAACTAGGGGACAGGCCATCCTAGACCTTGTTTTGTGTAACGAAGCAGGGCTAGTTGGCAGTGTAGGTATTAAGAATCCTCTCGGGCAGAGTGATCACAATATGATTGAATTCTGCATTAAGTTAGAGAGGGATATAGTTAAATCCGAGGCAAGTATTCTGAATTTAAATAAGGCTAATTTTGTAGGTATGAGGAAAGATTTAGGTAAAATAGACTGGAGAATAAGATTAAGAGGTAAAAATGTAGACCAACAGTGGCAAATATTTAAGGATGTAGTGCATAATTCTCAGGTCGCATAATCCCTTGCGGAATAAGAGTACCACAGGGAAAGCAAGTCATCAGCAAGTCATCCCTAACTAGAGCAGTTAGGGAAAGCATCAATTAAAAGAAAAAGCTTGTAAAACCGTCAAGAAAAGCAGCAAATCTGAAGATTGGGAGAGTTTCAGAAACCAGAAAAAAAACCTAAAAAACTCATTAAGAGCGAGAAAAAGGAGTATGAGGGTAAGCTAGCTAGGAACATTAAGTCTGATTGTAAAAGTTTTTACAAATACATTAAGAGGAATAGGCTAGTGAGGGTAAATGTAGGTCCACTTCAGTCAGAGACGGGAGAAGTTGTAATGGGGGACAAGGACATGGCAGAGTCCCTAAATGGGTACTTTGCATCTGTCTTCACCCTAGAAGACACAACAAGTCTGCCAACAATAGAGATGCACCAAAGGGATAAGGACAGGGAGCAACTTAGGGAAATTTTCATTAGTAGAGAATTGGTGCTTGGGAAACTGTTAGCACTAAAAAGTGACAAATCCCCTGGTCCGGATGGCTTGCATCTCAGGGTTTTAAAAGAGGGAGCTTATGAGATAGTGGAGGCTTTGTGTTTGATCTTCCAAAATTCCTTAGATTCTGGAACAGTCCCCATGGATTGGAAGATCGCAAATGTCACACCACAAAAAAAAGGTGGAAAGGAAAAGATGGGGAACTATAGGCCAGTTAGTCTCACATGAGTGATAGGAAAAAATTTAGAATCATTGATTAAGGATGTGGTACTGCGGTATTTAGAGGGGCACAATACAAGTCAACATGGCTTTACAAAAGGGAAGTCATATTTGACAAATCTCATAGACTTTTTTGAGGATATTTCGAGTAAACTAGATAAGGGTGAATTAGTGGATGTGGTCTATTTGGACTTCCAGAAGGCATTCGATAAGGTGCCGGATAAAAGGTTAGTCCAAGAGATAGGGGCCCATGGAATTGGGGAGAGCATATTAACGTGGATCGGGGAATGGTTAACGGGTAGGAAACAAAGAGTAGGGATAAACGGGACCTTTTCAGATTGGCGGGATGTGACTAGTGAATGCCACAAGGATCAGTCCTTGGTATCAGCTATTTACGTCGAATGGCCTACTCCTGCTCCCACATGTTATGTTATGTTATGTTGTTACTCTATACTATTATTCAGGTTGTTACTCTGTGCTCAAATTGTCTCTAAAATGTATGTCTCTAAAATGTGACCATATTGTCCGGCTCCACTAGCTCCCCATCCTCAGTTCAAAATCCTCGTCCTCGCCTTCAAGGCCTCCTCGGCCTTGCTCCTTCCTACCTCTGTAATCTGCTAACGCCATACAAACCTATCCACTCCCTCCATTAAGCCTGCTCCACATCTCCCGCCAGGACCGTCCCACCATTGGCAGTCGGACCTTCAGTCTCTTTGCTCCCACCCTTTGGAACTTCATCCCACGGTTGCCTCTCTTGCATCCTTCAAAGCATATCTCAAGATCCTACTCTTCGACCATGCTTTTGGTCATCTTCCTGCTCCCTGCTCTCCACCCCTCCTGATCCCATCCCCCGCTCGAGTCCAAATCCCTTACTGTCCAGCGCCTTGGGACGCCCTCCCAATATGAAAGGTGCTATATAAATGTAATTTTTTGTTGTTGTTGCTGAAAGATTAGGTCCAATGCATTTTTCACTAACACCGGTTCAGGGCTGTAAAGGGGAAGTTTGAGATAAATACCAGGAAGTATTTCTTTACCCAGAGGGTAATTACCAACTGGAACGGAGTTCCCGGGAAGTGTGGGAGACCAGGCCTTTAGACTGGTAACAGGCAGCTCATTGCTGTAACAAAATGACAGATGAGCCTTCTTCATCCAATCACTTGGGCTCAGTACAGTCCCCTTGCTCCTTGAGTGGTGGAGGGAAGAGAAGTGGGTCTCTTTGGGGTTGCAAACTTGGCACCGACTTGACTTACCTGACTCATTGGCAGAGGCAGACCAGTAACTCAGCTCCTGCTAACCCTACAAACCGAAGCCTAGTGAGTAATGGGGTCCTAGCTGGACAAGCAGCAGAAACAATGGCAAGCTGCACAGCCTTGGCTCTCACCAAACAGAGTCTAATATTGTCTGAAATTAGGTGAGCAGAGAGCATCCCTCTCGGGAGAGAGTGTGTTTTCCATTCCAGGCAAACATATCTCCTTTTTTATCTGATACTGTATCTCCCTTGTATCTGATATTGTATTTCCCCTCAGTTGGAGCCCAAGCGTTTGAAGAGTATGTTCCCTAAGTTCCTGAAATCTATCAAGCCCGGAGACCGCGTTCTCGTCGTGGGCACTTCACAACGACCGTTTGATGCCAGCCTAAAGCCTTTCTGCAAGAACTACAAGAAGATTATCCTGATTCCGAGGCCAGACTACGCCTCCAGAAAATGTGAGTGAACAGCCACGTCCCTGAGACTGTAAACATCAATGCTTGTAATCCTCAAACCCTCTCTATAACCAGCCTTTGGATGAGACGTTAAACCAAACGCTTAAACCAAGACATTAAGCCACCTGTTCAGATGGACATTAAAGATCCCGTGGCACTACAGTAAAACTCACATAAGTCGTATCAGTTGGGACCATAACATTTAATATGACTTACACGAAGTCCGAGTTGTTTTAACAAACTGTTTTCTCAATAATCTACATGGTACATGCATAATTTAATATACATGCGGTAGGAATGAACTTCTTCTGCACATATGTAGATGGGACATCATTTCCCATGATTCCATGCAGCCGGAATGTGTGGGAGTCATGGAGGTTAGGGGAGCGGTGTTACATGTTATGAGGTTATTAATATGAGTAGTGCAAAGAATGTCTGACTTAGGATTTAAAAAGGTACCAGCTTGCAATAAAGGATCCAATATGGAATGCAGATTGATACACAGTCAGACACGCAGACAAACATTTCTTCTTTTCTATACTCAGCTGGGAGAACTCCTGTGTGAGGACTCCTTTTTGGAGAATTCAATGGGGAAGGACTCCTTTGGGGAGGACTCCTGTGGGAGGACTCCGATTAAAGCTATGCTAACCGAAGGTGTTTAATGTGTGATCCGGCAGGTCCTCGAGTTATTGCAAGGCTCATGTAGACGACATTTGCAGTTTTTCTTCCTTCGACCATGATGTACAGTTTTTCAGATGAACCTAAACGTGATCATGGCTCCACAGTGGGCACATACGTTCAATATATTCCCAATACGGTGGATGCAATCTGGTTCGTAGTCTCTGCCTGGATCATAATTGAGTGCAGCTAAATGGAGTGACCTCTGTTGCTTGGCGTCATCTTGCCATATTCTTGCATGCCTTTTGTGTGTCCAAGTCCTGCTATGTTGTTCTTTGAGCGGGCAATTAATTTTAATAATAATAATCCTTGCATTTGCTATAGTGCCTTATCGCAACTTCTAGACATCTCAAAGCGCTTCACAGAATATACTGTAAAGTGACTTGACTGTATATTTTGTGGGCGAAATGTGGCAGCCAAATGCGTACAGCAGTGTCCGACAAACAGTCGCTGATTTGAGTGACAAATTTAATATTATTATTTTTGAAGGAATTATTATCCCCAGAAAAGTGATCCATTCAGTTGATTAACAATCGGTTTCCTACTTACTGCGAGGTAAACAGAGGCAATAAGGAAACTTGCCCAACGTTTTGCGCTGCTGGGAATTAAACCCAGGTCTCTCGCTTGCAAGGCGAGTGCCACTGAGCTACAGGACTCCATTTTGCCTTGCTCTTGCAGTCCTTTCAGCATAGAAGTCCAGCCGTGCTGTTCTTTATTTTTCAGTTTCATTTAATCGGCCTTCTCTCTTTTGTCTTGCATTTTTATTTGTCCTTGGAAGGCTTGATCTTCGCTTCTAAGGCATCTTCCCTTAAGATTAAGAAAATGTTTTATTGGGAAGACTCCTGTGGGAGGACTCCTGTTGGGAGAACTCCAGTTGGGAGGATTGTAGCTCCCATGACAACCTGAAAAACTGTAATACATTTGTTGCAAACATATGAATCTCTTTAGAAGAGTGTGTGCTTTCCTCTGTTACTACTTTGTCGCAGAATACTATGCATACCTCATATTTTGGGGCTTAATTAAAGCATTTTTAAAATACAGCTCATCAACAATAGCAGATCACCAAAAAGAAAAATGCCCATAACACTTCCGTATGCAAGACCTTTCTCATGAGTATAAATCGTGTCTCTACGTCAATCGGTTATGGCGTTATTCGCAGAAACACAGACACACACATACACACACACAGACACTTCATCTTTATTAGTATAGAAGATTATGTGAGTTTTACTGTGTTCGAAAAGACAAGGGAGTTTCTCTCTCCAGATGTCTTGGCCAACAAGCCCCCAGATAAAATTGGTCACCCACTCCATGGCTATTTGTGGGACATTGCTGTGTATAGATTCGGTGCCCTGTGATGTGCTCCCACATCATAGGGAGTGCCAGGAATTGAACCCAGTGTCAACCAACAGCCACACAAGGTTGGGTTTTGTGTGACTTTGAACAGAGTAGAATTAGTATGCCACAGAAGTCTTTTCTCTCTTCCATCCACCATTCACCGTACAAAATACACAGTCACTGCACTTTAAAATTGATCCTGTGAAGGGCATCCTTTGCAACGTCCTCCCCCCGTGAAAGGGGCTGTACCAATAATTATTACTATTTTAATTTTGTTCTTACATAAATACTGTAAATATACAATTGGACCCTTTGTTTTGGTATAATGCGTGTATCGAGCGGGTTGGTACACTCCGGGTGCTGATTAGCCAGTGGTACTTCCTGCACAAGTGCAGCAAACACAAAGTGCTGTCAACTGAGGCCGTGCTTCCCCACTCTATCATGCTTCCCCACTCGACCTTGGCGACATCTTCAAACCCTGCCCGCTCACTCCACTCAACGGGCACCAGCCTGTTTCATATCCCCCATTGACAGTAAGGCTTTCAGCGTAACTGGGCTTTCAGGGCAACTGCCCCCTCTCTCTGGAACTCTGTCCCAGAGTCCCTCCAACTCGTCCTTCCTTCACCAACTTCAAGGGCTTCCTCAAGATCATCCTCTTTGATGGTCATCCTTCCCCCACTCGCCCACCACACCTCCCGGCCCCCACCTCCAGCTTGGGTGCAAATTGTAGACCGTCCATTGTTTTGAGACATCCTCTCAATGTGAAACGCGCTGTATAAATGGAAGTTTGTATTGTGCCATGCCCCTTTATTATGCGGGGCCTGATTTTACAGATACAAACCACTACGCACCCCCAGGGATAGAGTGCACATTTCATTCCAACAATCTATCTCTGGGGTTTCCATGTGAGTGTGCTGCAGGGAATTCTCAGTTTGGTTTATATGCTGTTAAGCACAGTGATGGGTTTACGCATGTGTTAGCTGAAAAAAACTGTGTTAAAATGAATCCAACTATAGGCATTTGAATGTGTGTGACATTGAAGGTGGGAACATAGACTGACGGGGTCTCTCCTCTGCTGCCTCACCCCTCAGTGTTCTGGAAAAGCATCATTGAGCAGCAGGGAGGCATCCTGACCAGCGCTCTGGACCTCAGCTCTCTCGCCAAGGTGACAGATGGCTACACCCAGGGTCACATAGTCACTGCAGCTCAGGCCGTGCTCAGCGAGCTGCGCATCAAACACCAGCGCAAGAGACCTTTAACCGCAATAGAGTTCATGGCCCCTTTGTCCTGGCAAGACCCTGTGTATAGGGAGGAGGAGGAGCTCTTTAAGGTAGGTGACACATTTTTAAGGGCTGGGTGGGGGCGGGAGGTGTTCAGCGAGCAGTCTGCATCAGCAGAGAGGACTGGGAGGAGTGACTTAGCCCGACACAGTGTGCGAGGGAACTGAAGTAACATCAGTAGAGAAACAGAGTCCCTCTGTGTGGATGCACCAGGCCCAGTGTGCAGCAGCCAGAGGTTGAGCTGTTGGCTTGTGCGGGTCAGTAACATGTGGCTATCACTTGGCGAGGGAGCTGGGTGGTTGGGGAGCACACCTGAGATCTGAACCAGTTTTGAGGAACCCTGGAAAAGAAATCTAGCCTCCCTGGAATTTCACGTAGAACAGCAAGCCGCAGCCTCACAAGAGCAGGCTCCTCTCTCCTCACCACCGCGTTCTCCCTGTGTAATTCAAACAGAAATGTCTTCCCAAAACACTTTGTTCAACATTGTCAGGTTAGAGCCTGGTAGCATTCTTTTCTCTGAGTAAGAAGGATTTAGGTTCAAGCCCCACATCGGGACTTTGAGTTCACAGCCTAAGCTGACACTCCAATGCAGTGCTGGGAGAGCGCTGTATTGTAGGAGGTGTCGATCTTCGGATGAGACGTTAAACTGAGGTCCTGTCTGTGCCTGTTCAGGTAGTTGTTAAAAGATCCCCTAGCATTTTTGGAAAAGAGAATAGAGTTTCTTACGCTGTCCTAGCCAACAAACCCCCCAGGTGAAATTGGGACTAGCTCCATGGCTGTTTTGTGGGACATGCTGGTGCAAATTGGCTGCCGCATTTGCCTACAAAATACAGAGTCACTACACTTTACAGTATATCCTGTGAAGCACTTTCAGAGAACCCCCATGTGAAAGGCCTTATATGAAATGTTGAGTTTATTTACTATAAAGATAAATTTGAGTTTATTTATTATAAAGATAAATTTCCAGACACGGAATCAGCAGTTTAATAAACAGTGTGAGATGTCGACCTGTCTCCGCACAGGACTGGTACGCGAAGACTCCAATGGGGAAGATGAGAGCACAGATGGCCATAAGGTCAAAGGAGGATGGAGACACCAAGGGGAAAGGGAAAGACAAAGGCACGGACAAGGGCAGGGGGAAGACCAAAAAGAAAAAGTGATGTTCAGGTGTCCATCAAGGCTCCGCTGCATGCTCATCCTCCACTGTGTTTTTCTATTCCTTTTATCCAGTGTTATGCATGGACCCTTTGTGTGAGGCTCACTCAGAGCTGTGTAGCTGCGTGTCGATGTGTTGAGTTCAGTTACTGTGTATGTAACCTCACCATCCAGTATTAATTTCTCCTAATGAGCTCCTTCACTCCAGGCTCCCGCAGGAATGATAGACTATTACTGACTGATGAAACCAATACTGACTAGTGTCACCAAAGGTATTTCTGTCCCCATTGCAGACCAGTGCTTCCAACCCACACCAGGGCTGGTCACCAAACCACACGAGAGCTGGTGTCTAATACTAACCAGATCAAGATGCTGTGTCTAAAACTGACCAGTGCTGGTGTCTAACACTGACTAGTGCCGTGTCTAACACTGACCAGTGCTGTGTCTAACACTGACTAGTGCTGTGTCTAACACTGACCAGTGCTGGTGTTTAACACTGACCAGTGCTGTATCTAACACTGACCAGTGCTGTGTCTAACACTGACCAGGGCTGTATCTAACACTGACCAGGGCTGTGTCTAACACTGACCAGTGCTGTGTCTAACACTGACCAGTGCTGTATCTAATACTGACCAGTGCTGTGTCTAACATTGACCAACATACCTGGAGTTCTTTCCCAGTGGTGTTTCCCAATCACAGTTCCTGTAGTGAAGGACCTCATTAATCTCTCATACCTAATGCCTAATAAGTGAACTGTATATTTTGTTGATATTTTAAAAATTAAATGGTAAAGTAATCAAGATAACTGTGCTCCACAGCTTTAGTGTTTCTATGCTGAATCAACAACATCAACCATAACAAATTACATTTATATTGTGCTTTTCACTTCAGGAGGAGGTTCCCAAGGTGCTGGATTGTGAGAGGTTTGAACCTGAGCTGCTAGTTGGGACCAGGGAGGGGTGGAGGTCAAGGTGGGTGGTCGTGGGAAGATAACCAAAGGAGGGGTTGAAGAGGAAGGTCTTGAGACTGGCCCTGAAGGAGGTGAGGGCTGGGGCGAAGCAAAGGGACTCCGGGTTAGAGTTCAAGAGGGTGGGCAGAAAGGTTGAATGCTCGATCTCCGATGGTGGAGTGGGCATGGAGACGTACGTGGAGCAGGCCAGTACCTGCCGAAAGGAGGGAGCAGACAGGTTGGTAGGGTTTTATATAATAAAATAATATAATAATCCTTGCATTTAGATAATTATTTGGGGAGGACAGGTCTCTCGCTTGCAAGGCGAGTGCTCTCTCCATTGAGTTACAGAACTCCTAAATCCTGTTTTAGGATGTCCCAGAGATAGGCCGCAGTGGGGCTGACTTGAATGCCTCATCTCTCCAGCTGGTGTTAGGGCCAGCGCTCCATTCACATGGCCTCCACTCCCATTAAAACTGTTAACTACACCCAGTGACTCACTCCCAAATTACAGCTCCTCCGAGTTTGTCATTCCAGGGTTGTCACCGGTGGCTGCCCTTCCTGATCCCATTGCTGTCAACAGTCAAACACAGAAGCAGAATTCCTCCCATCTATCCTGGAGCTCTCTTGGAATCCGTGTTTCCATTTTTCGTCACTTCTCAGGTTGGGAGCCAGACTAAGGAAACAGTCCTTCCTGACAGCGCTTTACATACAATACAACGATACAAGAGAACTTACATGATGCGGTGTTCGTTGGAGCCAAAGAGGGTGGGGGTTGGGGAGAGAGATGCCTGAATGTGTGGTCAACAAAGTACATATCGATCATAGGCAGTGTGTATTTGGTTTGCAAAACACAGCAGACCGTCCTTCAGATGATACGTTAATCTGAATCTGCCTGTTTAGGTGGATGTTAAAGATCCCACAGCATTATTCAAAAAGAGAAGGGAGTTTCTCTTGATGTCCTGGGCAACAATCCCCCAGATAAATTGGTCGTTAATTTCATGGCTGTTTGTTGGTCATTGCCGTGCGCAATTGTGCTGTCACGATCCGCTACAAATACATAGTCACTATGCTTTATAGTAAATCCTGTGAAGCGCTTTGAGATGTCCTTTCGATGTGATAATAATATTAATACTAATCCTTGCATTTGATATAGCACCTTATCATGTTGTTGTAAAGTGGATTGTCTGTATATTTTGTGGGTGCAACAAAGATAAGGCCTTATACCAGATCAAAGGATTATTATTTTCATTATCACTAGACGCGCAACATCTGCATGTAGGCTTCCCCGTCAGTGATTGCCAGTGCTGCAGCTAGGTATGGTGTGGTTTCTTTCTACATCTGGATTTGATCTCACTCTGTAGGTGCAACGACTGAAGAAGTGCTGTATTGTCAGAGGTATTGTCCCTCAGATTATACATGCCAGCATCTCTCTGTGAAGCACTTTCACACGCACAAATCCTTATTGGTTATTATTGCTAAGAAAGACTGGTCACTGGACTGGGAGGGAAGAGTTGTGGAGGGAAGAGTTGGGAAGACCTTTTCTTCATTTCTCACAGTCTTCCCAGGATCTGCAGTCCCAGACGGCCACAGTAGGTGTTTGTGCGTAGATGTGCCTTGTGGTATGAGTGATCGTACCAAGGTACTCCAGCACATGAGGGGTATTGCCGAACATGAAACCTGGGACCGATTCTGTGTGAGGACTGATAGTGTGGACTTGATGATTGATGATGTTGCCAAGGATTTTCTTGCTTCTGCAACCAAGGTTGTAAAGAAATTGAAGCTACAGACTGCAAGGCACCCATATCGGAAACAGGACCCAATCAGGATATCGACAAAAGGAAAAAGCAGGATTTTTAATGGTATTCTGGAAGCTTCTTCAGAGCAAGCTAGGCAACAAAGGCAACTTACGACCAAGCATGGCATGAAACTAGGAAATTAAGCGGGATCAATGGGCTGTGGCAATCCAAAAAGGGGCGCAATTGCACAAGGACGATCCTAAATCTTTCTTCCGCTGGCTGAAGACTGTTGTTGGGCATGGTCAGGGTGGCCCCTCTGGGCCCATACCAGTATTGGGCAAGTTCAGTGTTCTGACATGGATCAATCACACGGCAATTGGAATCAGAGCTCGCTCCTTCTCAAACAGGTTGCTTTTCCCCCAAAACCTAGACCTGACATAATAACAGGATAGAAACACAGCCTTCTTTTCAAGGCTAGTAAACCTGCTGACGTTTACAATGTGGGTATCCTTGGGGTCTGTATATTTTTATGGTCGAATCCTGGATTTTATCCGGAATGGGTATTCCAGCTCCATAATCCATGTAAGGTTCGACAGTGTTTTCTGAACCCATCCCTCTGGAAAGGGGGGTAAGGCAAGAATCCTCCCACTCAGCTCCTGTTGAACCTACAAGCCAAAGCACTAATGGGTCCTACCTGGACAGGCAGTACGAATGTTTGCCAGACAGCAATATCAATGGCAAGTTATGTGGTTTTAGCTGGTTAGACTCCAGCAGTACCCCAACACACACACACTGGGGTCCCCAAGCCTTGGCTCTTGCTAACCTGTGCCTTACACTTTCCGGAATTAGGTAAGCAGGATGCGTCATTCCAGAGAGAGAGGGCACATTCCATTCCAACAATCTATCGCTGGGATTTCCATGTGTAGGTGGGATGCAGGAAAATCTCAGCTATTTTGGATACTCTTAAGCACGGTAATGGGTTTCCGCATGTGTCAGACACCTGGCTGACCCCCAATAAAATCAGGATAGGGACATTATACAGGTTTCCTCTGGCTCAGTTGGCATCACTCTTGCCTTAGAGTTAGAAGGTTGTAGGTTCAATGTACATGTTAAGACTCTGAGTTCAGAGTCTAAGCTGACAATGCAATGTTGGGGGAGCGCTGCATTGTTGTTGCTTCAGATGAGATGTTAAACCCAGGTCCCGTCTGCCTGTTCGGATGAATGTTAAATATCCCATGGCACTATTTGAAGAGACTCTGGTGTCCTGGCCAACAAATCCCCCAGATAAAAGTGATCATTACATTGTGGGACGTTGCTGTAAATAAATTGGCAGCCGTGTTCACCTGCATAACCAGTCATTCCACTTTACAGTGAAACCCTGTGGGATGTTTCGATGACTATATCAAATGCAAGGTTTGTTATATTATTATTATAATGGTTGGAGTTGTTTACAGAGAGAGTCACGCTTGCTGTCTCTCTGGTCTCCACACCTGCTCTCCAGCTTAGAATTGCTTTGTTATTCCAGCTGTAACCTTTGGCGTTTCACAGGAGATGTTAGCTTCTAAACCAAAACCAATTAGCAGTGACTCCCGTACAGAGCCACGGACTGAGCATTACCACCTACTGAGGGAAGGGCTGAGCGTATCAGCTTCTGACCTCAACCAGTGTTTACACAACACTCTATTATATTAATATAATAATCACTTGCATTTGATACAGTGCTTTATCACATCATTGGGACATCTCAAAGCACTTCACAGAATAGCGATAACCTGTTTTTACGTAGCGCCTTTCATGTGAGATTGTAAAATGTATTGTGTATTTTATGTATTTATGGGTGAAACACGGCAGTCAATTGCGCACAGCAGTGTCCCACAAACAGTTGTGGATTATTATTCTGAGGAAAACAATCCACCAATCAACTAACAACCAAATTCCTACTTACTGCTAGGTAAACAGAGGCAGGTGGAGTAAGGAAACTTGCCTAAGGTTTCAACCTGCCTGGGAATCGAACCCAGGGCTTCTTGCTTGCGAGGCGAGGCGAGCGCACTAACCACCATGCTCTCTCATTGTTTGGCTCACAACAATCACTGACCCTAAACTCGCCTGCTGCTAATTCGACACCTTGTTATTTTAGCTTCTAAAACAAAACCCATTAGCAGTGACTCTCTGCTCCGACTCTTAATTTGGTCACTCAATTCGAGTGTTTGTGGAACAATACTGTGTGCAATTGGCTGCTGTGTTTCATCCACAAAATACAGTCAATCCACTTTACATTATATTCTGTGAAGCGCTTTGAGACGTCTCAATGACTTGATAAGGGATATGCAAGGAATATTATTATTATCGAAGGAAACAGGTAAGTGGCGTCTGATCTCCAGCTGTTCTGGGCCCAACCCCACACACACCAGACTGCAGCTGTTGTCAAATACAGCCCTTGTGACACAGATCAATCACACGGCAATTGATTGAATCAGAGCTCGCTCCTTCTCAAACAGGTTGCTTTTCCCCCCCAAACCCAGACCTGACATAATAACAGGATAGAAACACACAGCTCAGCCTTTTTACTAGGGCTTGTAAACCTGCTGACGTTTACAAGCTGGCTTCATGAGCCGAGAGCCCTGTGGAAACCTTCAGCCTGTTATAATAATACAATAATAGTCCTTGAATTTGATACAGCGCCTTATCATATTGTTGCGACATCTCAAAGATCTTCACAGGATATACTGTGAAGGATTAACAGGATTGACTGTTTATTTTGTGGGCAGAACATGACAGTCAGTTGCACACATCAACGTCCCACAACTCCCTTCTCTTTTCTTCCCTAAATTCAAATTAATTGGGTGCTGATCTCAGTGTTGTTGCTGGTATAGATTAGCTGCCACTTTTGCCTTATATACTATAATAATAATCTTCATATTTGGTGCAACGCCTTTCGCATTGGGAGGACGCCCCAAAGCGCTTCGCAGTATTTTACTGTAAGTGCAGTGACTGTGCATTTTGGAGGTGAACACAGCAGCACAATTGTGCACAACAAATGTCCCGCAAACAGCCATGGAGTGAGTGACCAATTTTATCTGGGGAATTATCATTTCAGCCTCCTCACAGACAGACGATGCAAAGTGTTAGCAGGCCAGAAGCGGCCTGGATTCCCAACCACACCCTTGCTTCCCAGTTTGTTTGGGAGCTGAAACGTGCCCTGGAAGCTCAGGATCATAATTGGGCGACCGGCCTCCTCCAGGCTGGAGTGAAACTCCCCAATGCCACCATCGAGCTCTCCAATGATGACTGGATAAACGATCCATCTGCAGTGCTGCATCTGCTGGTTCTCCTGGGTCAGGCCTGTCCTTCAGTCCCTCTGCTTGGTGCTGTGCAGTGTTGTGTGGAGCAATAACCTGTTTTTACGGAGCGCCTTTCATGTGAGATCCACAACTCCAAGGACCTTAGAAATAATAATTTGCATTTAGTATAGAGCCTTATCACATCGTTGAGACATCTTAAAGCGCTTCACAGAATATACTGTAAAGTGGATTGACTGTGTATTTTGTAGGCGAAACGAGGCAGACATTTCTCAGTGTCCCACAAACAATCGTGGATTGAGTGAACAAATTGTTTTTATTACCCCCAGAAAGAGATCTGCCAATCGACTAACAACCGGGTTTCTGCTTACTCCGAGGTAAACAGCCGTGTGGAGTAAGGAAGCTTGCCTATGGTTCGCCCTGCCTGGGAATCAAACCTGAGTACACTTGCTTGCGAGGCGAATGCACTAACGACTACATTACAGGACTCCACAAACAAAGTGAACATTGTTGGACGTTAAAGATCCCGCGGCGCTATTCAAAAATATAAGGAAGTTTCTCTCTCCCGGTTTCCCAGCTGACAATCCTCCAAGTAAAATTGATCATGGCTGTTTGCATGACATTTACTGTGCGCATTTGTTCTGCCACATTTGCCTACAAAACACTCACTGCAGTTTAGAGTAAAATTTTATTGTTAAGTGAAGTGCTTGTGAAGTGATGTGCTTTGAGGCATCAAATGCTGTATCAAATGTGAGAATTATTAGTAATATTACACAAACGTGGCAGCTGATCTGTACCAGGGGCAACACTGAGATCAGCAGTTGATTCATTTGAACTTGGGGAACAATTCAACGTATTTCTCCCACAAAAGACACAGTCGCATACTTCACAGTAAAATCCTGGGAAGTGCTTTGAGATGTGCTCCTGCTGTACTAAATGTAAGGATTATTATTTATTAAATGTAAAGAGCTCCATCTGCTGGTTGGGAATTTGAGGGCGAGTGGGGGTGAATTTGTGATTGTGACTTGGGGAGTAACAGGAGGACGTCTTCTCCCGGAGCGTGTGGAGAGATTTTCCAGGACGGAGGTACTAGTTGGGATATTTATAAGCAATTGGAAAACCACGCACAGAAGGAGATTCTGGGAAAGAGCAATATAATAATAAATAATAATCCTTGCATTTGATATAACGCCTTATCGCATCGTGAAGACGTCTCAAAGTGCTTCACAGAATATACTATAAAGTGAATTAACTGTATATTTTGTGGATGAAACGCAGCACCCATAATGTGCACAGCAGTGTCCCACAAACAGTGGATTGAGTGACCAAATTTTTTTTTATCATGCCATGCAGATAATTTCACCCCTACATTATTCATTTTTAACAAAGATGATAAGATAGTTTAGTTTTCTGCCTTCCTGATGAGACTTTGATTTCCACAGATTGCTCGCAAATTCTCATTAAATATTGTGAAGAGGGACGGGGGAAACACTGCCAAACCTGTTTAACCACTGGCTTTTCTGACTTTTTGGCAGATTTTTTTTTGGGGTGTGGGTGGGGAAAGAGCAAGAAAAACGCCACCCACAATCTCAATGTCCGTCCACTCTGCCAATACCGCCTTTTTGATCCAACTGTGAAATAATAAATATTCTAATAAAAATATTCAACTCTTAATTGGTATTTGAAAAGCAAATGCACACAAAAAAAAGGTTAGAGCAACTGCCTCATTCCCAATTTCCACAAGCAAGAGAATAGTAAGGCAAGCTGACAACATTTTGCTTAGCCTCAAAAGACATTTAAATGGTTATATATTGATTCAGACGCAGATAAATCTTATAGTACATCTTGTCCATCACATGCATTTGGAGATTGTCAATGTCAGGCAGTACGTTACCACACTTTGGGCAGTGATTAACATGAGGTTGGATGGCTTTTTATCGGACAATCCGACACATGCAGAAACCCATCAACACACTTAAGAGTATCCAAACCAGACTGAGAATTCCACATCCATAGGCCATCTACACAGCCCGTAAGGCACGCACATGTATGTACACACAGAATCACACACATATATTCACACACACAGTTACACACATGTACATATACATACAGTCACACACATACCCAGACATCCAGACAGAGTGAATACCTCGCGCTCTATTCTCAGCCTCTGACTGTACTGCTGTCACGGGGCTGTAACCATGTGGGAAATCTCAGTTGCCAAAAGGCTTGTGAGCATTTTGGACTGAAGGGAGTGATGGACGAATGGCAGTGTGTTTGGCACCCACTGTGCAGCTCAGAGGATTGCTGAGTGTAATAAATAGCCGGCAGCATTGTTTAACCTGAGTTGAGCAGTGTTCTCGATTGCTCGCTCAGTTGGGTTCCACCCAGGTTCCGATCAGCTACAGAGGATGTCTCAACGCACATTTCACCTCTCACCACCTCCCAGTCCCTCTTTGCCGATCAGGGCCAATGATCCAGGCTTTTCGGGAGGCTGCATGGAGCTGTGCGGGGGGAGGCTGGTGGAGGCGGGGGAGGGCTCCGTGCTGAATGGTGACCCTGAGGCTTTGAGTGCTTTGCTGGAGGGAGACCTGGCCAGGCTGCGCTCTATCCTCCACACCCCCAAAGACGCCAACATCAGACTAGAAATCAAGAGTGACCAGCTGCTCTGGACATCGAAGAAATTCGGTACGTGGGCGACAGCAGTTCCGAAAAGTACCTTTTGATCCATTTTTCTAAATCCGCTTTTTCATTCCATGTTTTTCTATTCCATGCTATTTTTGTGCTTTTTTTCCCTGTGATCCGTACTGTTTTTCCTTTTCATTCTTCCCAATCCCATGTTTTTCCTGCTTCACCCGGTGGTGCTCAGTGATCTCGGGATTTTTTCATCCCTGCCCCCCCCACCCATGGGAAGCTCTCAAGGAGTTCCGGGTACCTACCTGGTGAGAGCTCACACCAGGCTTGTCGGATGTTGAACAATCAATTAGTAACTATTCTTCTTGAAGGGGAGGTAACCGGGTCTCCTTGGAGGTGAATGGCTCCAAGGTGTCATCTTCAGCAACGGAATGTCGGAATCGAATGTGGTTGTCTCAGGAGTCTGTTTCCTGAGCCAGGCGGGTCTGCAGTACTTCAGGGCCTTGATGATAACAGCACAGCTCATCCACAGGACTTGGAGGGAAGATCCGTCACTGGGGATAACTCAGCTCCTGTTGACAAAACAATAACAAATTACATTTGCATAGCGCCTTTCATGTCAGGAGGACATCCTTAACTATTCAAGCCAAAGCCTTAATGGTTAGGGTAGTCCCAGTTGGACAAGCAGCGGGGCAAAATCTTAGACAGGTTTCCTTATTTCGCATGCCTGTTTACCTAACAATAAATAGGAAACCAATTGTTAGACAACTGGCAGAAAAAAATAACCATAAAATTGAATCAAAAGGTTGGAGGGTAGGAGGGGTGGGGTGGGAGTATGGCCAAAGGCACGGTCAAAGAGGAAGGTCTTCAGATGGGCAATGAAGGAGGCAATGGAGGGGGCGAGTCAGAGGTTCTCCGGAATGGAGTTCCAAAGAGTGGGGTCAGAAAAACTGAAGGCCCAATCACCAATGGTGGAGCGGGCAGGACTGTGGGTATGGAGCAGGCCAGTGCCCCCTGAACTCAGGTCCGACTGGGGCTCAAATCCACTCAGCAACTCATTAGATAAACCGTGCTGAGTTAGAGGAGGAGAGTCCTTCTCAGATGGTTCAAAGGACAAGCCGTCTCACTCACTCTCTGCTGCGTGGATCCAGCAACCAGTTACTGTCGGAATGTCCTCATGGTTTCACAGCCATGTATGTCTGCACCTCAGCCAGATAATGGGTTCCAACACCCATAGAGCTAGAGAAGGTTGTTCGGCCCATCATGTATGTGTTGATCTTAGAAAGATCGATCTGTTCAGCCTTGTTCTCCCCCCATACCACATACCTCTGCAAATGACTCCTTTTTTAGAACAAACCCCACTCCACACTAAATCCCCCAGTCCTCCTGTGTATTTTGCAAATTACAAATATTATTTCCTATAGTATATGTGGGGTTTATGTACACAGTAATAGTATATCCCTAAAAGAGAGGCTCACATCTCTGCGGGGTGTTACAGGCACAAATCTGGCTCACGAATTCAGAGAATTTAAATGTAGAGATTAACATGTCCCCAGAAGTGAGTTACAGGCTGGAATCTAAGCCAGGTGATTGAGGGGATGGATGGGATGGGGTGAGGTGGAGTTATATATAGGACAACGGAGGACTTGCTCCCAGGAGCAAGTGACAGGCTTGAATATAGTGCACGGATTATGCAGGTTTATTTGTAGAATAACAGATCCCAGGAAAAGAGTTTCAGACTGGAGATGAATCCAGCATTCAGCGGGAGGGGCAGGGATGGGGGTGGATATGTGTAGAACAACATCCTTGGGAGAGTCTAATTCAAGGTTTCAGGGTGGAGGGTTATATTTGAATAACATGTCCTGGTAGAGGAGTTTCTAGTTGATCAGTGATAGAACTTGTCATTGATCATCACCTCTGCTGTCAAAGAAACAGCTGCATAAGCCCAGTGTATTTATATGCACATGATAGACAATCACCCTGGTAACCATCGATGTGTGCAGATAAATAAAGAAACAGGACAAAGCCTGTGTCCTTGGCTAAACAACACGGGCAAAGCAAAAATAAACCTGGGAGTGCAACGGACACAGGAGGCTTTATATACTTAACGCTGCCCTGGAACTGAGTTATCATCTGGAATCTAATCCAGGATTTAGGGGAGTTATATATAGACAGATGAGGTTCTCTGTCGAGCACTCCCCTCCCACCACCACCAGATGTGAGAAGCACTATGTAAATGTAAATTGTATTGTACTGTAAAACAGTGTTAACATAGTCTAATGTGCTCCGAGACACCACCCGCAGGAAGGGCGCTATATGCATGCAAGTGCTACCATTGGCAGAGTATCCTCTGTGTCAGAAAATAGTGAGCTTAAGCACCACTTCGGGACTTGGAATCACACTGTCTAAGATGACACTCCAATGCAGTCCTGGAGGGGTGTTGCATTGTCGGGGGTGCTGTCCTTCAGATGAGGCATTAATCTGAGAGCCCATCTGCCTATTCGTTAAAGATGGAAGTTTCTTTTCATCTGGTATCCTGGCCAACAATCACCGAATAAGATTGGTCACTCCCTGAGTTTGTGGGACATTGCTGTACGCAAACTGGCTGACACTTTTTGCCCACAAAATTAATACAAGAACAACAACAAGATTACATTTGTATAGCGCCTTTCATATCGGAAGGACATCCTTTTTTGTCAAATATGTGTGTGTAAAATACAATTTGTGGAGTCCTGTAGCTCAGTAGTTAGAGCACTCGCTTTGCAAGTGAGAGACCTGAGTTCAATTCCAGGCAGAGGGCGAAACCTTGGGCAAGTTTCCTTACTCCACACAGAGCCTAATAATAATCCCTCCAAAACCAAAAAATAATAATAAATTGGTCATTTTCAATCTACGACTGTTTGTGGGACATTGCTGTGCGCAATTGGCTGCCGCGTTCGCCCACAAATATACAGTCAATTCACTTTACAGTGTGTTCTGTGAAGCACTTTGGGACATCCTCCCGACACGAAAAGCGCTATATCAAATGCAAGAATTATTATCATTATTATAATTTCCAGTATATCCTGTGAAGCGCTTTGAGACATCTTGATGATGCGGTAAGGCACTATATCAAATACAAGGATAATTATTATGATTATTGTTATAATAGAGGCATCTTATAGCAAGAATCTATTGTAAACCAACACTGGGTTACAGTGATCACCAATGGATGACACTGAGGTAAAAGTTGTAAATGAAGCAGATTCTCAAACAGCAGAGAATAACATTGGAGAATAAAGGAAAGCTTCGGGTTTGAGCCTTTAGCTGAATTCTCAGTAGCTAAAGACCATCCCCAGTTTAGTACAGTATCCAATCCCCACACCCCGCTCCATTTACTATCACCTGATTCTCCAATTATTCCACAAAAATCAATAGCTTTAGCATTTAATACCTGTATTCGTTCCCCTCCACATTTGTAATCATTTCCCTCCACATCTTTAATTGTCCCATAGTGTAGTGGTTAGTGCGCTCACCTCGCAAGCAAGAGGTCCCAGGTTTGATTCCCCAGTGGTGTGAAACCTTAGGCAAGTTTCCTTACTACACACGCCTCTGTTTATCTTGCAGTAAGTAGGAACCCGCTTATTAGTCATTTTTGGCGGTTCGCTTTCTGGATGCAATAATCTCTCCAAAATAAATTGGGTTACTCAATTCCGACTGTTTGTGAGACACTGCTGTGTGCAATTGGCTGCAACGTTTTACCCACGAAGTGCTTTGAAGTCATCTCAACAATGTAATATGGTGTTATATCATATGCAAGAATTATTAGTATCTGCAATCATTTCCCTCAACATCTGTAAACACCACCCTGCACATCTGCAATTACCCCCTCCACATCTGTAATCATCCCCTCCACATCTGTAATCATCCCCTCCACATCTGCAATCATCCCCTCCACATCTGTAATCATCCCCTCCACATCTGCAATCATCCCCTCCACATCTGTAATCATCCCTCCACATCTGTAATCATCCCTTCACATCTATAATCACCCCATCCACATCTGTAATCACCCCATCCAAATCAGCAAACATTCCCTCCACATCTGTAATCACCCCTCCACATCTGTAATCACCCCCTCCACATCTGTAATCACCGCTTCCACACCTGTAATCACCGCTTCCATATCTGTAATTGTACCCGACCACACCAGTAACTTGCTCCCTGCCACATCTGTAACACATTTCCTCCATATCTGTAAGGTGCTCACCTCCACAACTGCCTGCCGAGGCGGTGATGTGGGAGGCCGTCGTAGTGTTAAATTTCCGCACAATAAATTATTTACTGTGAGCTGTGAGAGGGCCCGAGGCTGTACACCACAGGAATTAGTGCCAATTCATCACGAGTAGCTGTTGCCATGGTTACTCCGCTCTAACACTGGTACTTTTAATTAGCATTATCACCTTCCGCACCCTTATATTATAGGAATAAAGAGACGGGAGAAGTTCACTGGGAGAGTTTGCTACATGCCTGAACACTGCAGTGTGAGTGTCAGCTCAAAGGTGGGCACAACCCAGACCCAATTCAATCACCACGGTGATCAGTCCAGCCCAGTGACAACTTTAACCTCCACTTGAACAGACAGACAGGGCCTCAGTTTAATAGCTCTGACAATGCAGCATTCCCCAGCACCGCACTGGAATGTCAGTCTAGTCTGAGTTGAAGTCCAGACATGGAGCTTAAACCCTCAACCTCTGACTCAGAGGAGAGAGAACTGAGCCAGGCTGACACACATGACAACACTTTGTGGATATATAACATGAGTGAATCAATTCTTTCGCACTGTCCCAGGAGAGATGGGGGTAGGATGTGTGGGGAGGGTGGGGGTGAGGTGTCCAGAGAGGATAGGGATGGGGTGATGGGGTGGCTGGGAAGTGTGTATTGAGGAGCTTTACATCTGTATCTCTCTCTGTCTGTCTGTCTGTCTCTCATGCCTCTCCCTGTTGCAGGCCTGTGGTCCCTGGAGTACAAACGGGAGCTGACCAGCCCACTGTGTATTGCTGCCACCTACGGCTACACGGACTGTCTGCGGCACATCCTGCAGTGCGGAGCTGAGGTCAACCTGGTCCCAGGCCCAAGGAGTGCCCTGCAACAAGCCTGTGCCAATGCCCATCCCCACTGTGTGCAGCTTTTGTTGGAGCATGGTGCCAACCCCAGGCTCCTGAGTGAGGAGGGCCTCACTTCACTGCACCTCTGTGACAGCCCACATTCCTTCTTGTGAGTCACCTCAAAATATCCACCTGAACAGGGCACTGACGGGACCTTGGTTTAACGGTTCATCCGAAGGACAGCGCCCCCAACATTGCAGCCAGCACTACACTGGAATGTCAGCATAGGCTGTGAACTCAAAGTCCTAACATAAGAACATAAGAAATGCTAGACGAAAAAGACCAAGGTCCATCTAGTTCGTCTTGCACCTTCCTGGCGATTGCAAGCACATATGTCCCAAGTTACCTATGTGCTATATCCATGATGTTATTTCCCAAAAGAAAACTATCTAATCTGTGTTTGAAACAATCAGCACTTCTTACATCATCCATCTTCCTAGGGAGCCTGTTCCCCAGGTTCACTATTCACTCACTGAAATAGTGTTTGCATAGATTTGTTCTGAATTTATCCTGCCATTCCCTCAATCATTTTGGTTGTCCTCCTCTGCACCTTTTTGATTTCTCCAATATCCTTTTTTGTACTGCGGCAACCAGAACTGCACACAGTACTGACCAATGATTTATACAGTAGCAGGGTTACCCCATCATTTTGGCTTGCTATTAATCTTTTGATACATCCCAACATCTGGTTTACTTTACTCACTGCCACAGAGCATTGTTGGAAGAGCTTCAATTTATTGTCGGTCAGGACACCCAGATCCTTTTCATTTTCCATATGTATTATTTTCCTTACGTTCAAATAATAGTCTTCCAGGATCTTTGTCCTCAGATGAAGTAGTTTACATTTCTTCACATTGAATTTCATCTGCCATAGATCTGCCCAATTCCCAAGTATGTTCAAATCCTCCTGCAACCTATCTTGTTCAGCTTTGCAATCTACCACCTTCATTAGCTTGGTGTCATCTGCAAACTTAGTCACTGTGCTTGTGGCTACTAGTTCCAGATCATTTATAAAAATATTAAACAAAAGAGGTCCCAAAACAGACCCTTGTGAAACTCCACTGGTAAAATTTTCCCAATCTGATGACATTCCTAACATGGGGCTTGAATCCAGTAATGACAACAACACAAGTTGTCAAGCAGGGTACCATGGCTCTGGTCAGGCAAAAGTGCTTCCGCTGAGCCAAGCTGACATCTTGTTGTTGTTGTTGTTGATAATGTTGCTGTCTTTGCTGTTGGTAATGGTATGGTTGATAATACTATTGTTTTGCTTGTTAATGATGTGCTTGTTGTTTTTTTAGATTCATAGAATGTTACGGCACAGAAGGAGGCCATTCGGCCCATCAAGTCTGTGCCGGCTCTTTGACAGAGCAAGTCACTTTCGCTAACCCCAATCACCAGCTTTCTCCCCATAACCCTACAAACCCATCTTCCCCAGATACCTATCCAGTTCTCTCTTAAAAGCTGTTATCGAATTGGACTTTACTGCCCTTTCGGGCAGATCATTCCAAATTCGAACAACTCGCTGAGTAAAAAAATTTCTTCTAACCTCCCCTCTGCTTCTTTTGGTAGATAGCTTAAGACTGTGACCACGAGTCACAGACACACCTACCAGCGGAAACAGCTTTTCCTTATCTAGCCTGTCGAAACCTTTCATGATCTTGAAGACCTCTATCAGGTCCCCGCGTAACCTTCTCTGCTCTAATGGGAAAAGTCCTAACTTCTCCAGCCTGTCCTCATAGCTAAGCTTCCCCATTCCTGGTATCATTCTCGTGAATCTCCTCTGCACCCTTTCCAGTGCCTTAATGTCCTTCCTGAAGTAAGGTGCCCAGAACTGGACGCAGTACTCCAGCTGAGGCCTAACCAGTGTTTTGTATAGATTAACCATAACCTCCCTATTCTTATACTCTATTCCCCTACTAATAAAGCTCAGTACACCAAATGCCTTTTTACTGCCTTATCTACCTGCCCCGCTACCTTTAATGATTCGCTTACTTGAACACCCAGATCTCTCTGTACGTTCAACCCCCTTAAGATTGAGCTACCAAGTCTATATTGCCTCCTATCATTTTTCCTACCTAAGTGTATCACCTCACACTTATCCACATTGAAATCCATCTGCCACATGTCAGCCCATTCCACTATTCTGTGTATGGCTGCCTGCAGTTGGTTACAGTCCTCCTCACTATTTACTACCCTACCTAACTTTGTATCATCTGCAAACTTGGAAATAGTGCGCTCTATGCCCAAGTCCAGATCATTCCTGGGGGACACCGCTGCACACCTCCTTCCATTTCGAGAAACACCCATTAACCACCACCCTCTGCTTTCTGTCACTCAGACAGTTCTTAATCCAAAATGCCACTGTCCAAAATGCCCACCGTGGGCCTCTAATTTTTGTATTAATCTCTTATGCAGTACTGTATCAAAAGCCTTTTTGAAATCTATATAAATAACGTCCACCGCATTTCCCTCATCAACCCTCGCAGTCACCTCTTCAAAAAATTCTATTAAATTTGTTAGGCAAGATTTGCCTTTAACAAATCCATGTCGGCTGTCTCCAATTACCTCATGTTCCTCTAAGTAGTGATTTATTTTGTCCCGGATTATGGTCTCCAGTAGTTTTCCAACCGAAGTTAGGCTGACTGGCCTGTAATTTCCGGGTTTGTCTTCCTGCCCCTTTTTGTAGAGGGGGGTAACATTAGCCACTCTCCAGTCTCTTGGCACCACTCCTGTGTCCAATGAAGATTGAAATATAATGGCCAAAGCCTCCGCTATTTGAACCCGTATCTCCCACAGCAACCTTGGGTGAAACCCATCTGTTCCTGGTGACTTATCAATTTTGAGCCCAGTCAATCTTTTCAGAACTTCCTCTCTGTCTATAGTAATCTGATCTATGTCCTCTACCCTCTCATCCAATACTGCGGCATTTGGGGCATCCATTTCCGTTGTAAAGACAGATGCAAAGTACTCGTTCAGTACATCAGCCACGCCCTCTGCCTCCACAACAAGATGGCCGTCAGTGCCTTTGATTGGCCCCACCCTACCTTTAACTAACCTTTTTTCCTTTATGTGCTTGTAAAATATTTTAAGATTCCCCTTTATGTTACCCGCTAACCTCTTCTCATGCGATCTTTTAGCCTGTCTTATCACTCTTTTAAAATCACTCCTGCATTCTCTATAATGCGCTTTGCTATCCTTAGTATCTTGCGTCTTCCAATTGTCGTACACCGTCTTCTTCTTTTTCATCCTAGACAGAATATCCCTGGTCATCCAGGCTGGCTTGGTTGTCGCACATTTGCCTTTTGTGGGAATATATCTATTTAGACCTTGAGCTATCATATCTTTGAAGATCTCCCATTGCTCATGCTGATGCTCATGTTGATAATGCTGTTGGTGTTAATCATGTACTTGTTGTTGATGATGTTGTTGCTGTTGATGATGGTAATAATATTGTTGTTGATGTTGATGATATTGTTGTTCATATGTTCATAATGCTGTTGTTGATGATGATGAAGATGATGTTGTTGTTGTTGTTGTAGGTGTGCTAAGTTGCTGCTGAGTCACCAGGCGGACATTAACCAGCTGAGTGATGAGGAGGGGACAAGCCCACTGCACGTGGCAGCGGAGCATGGTCTGGTGGAGCATGTGCTGCTGTACCTGCGGTATGGAGCCAAGGTGGACAGAGTTGACAGCCGCGGGCAGACCCCACTGGGCTCGGCCTGTGCCCAGCCCCAGTCTTCGGGCTCGCAGGAGGCTTATCATCAAGTTTGTCAGCTGCTCATGACGCACGGAGCCGATGTGAATGCTGTGGATGGGGAGCGGGCGACCCCGTTGCATAGAGCTGCCAGGAATGCCAACCATGCCCTGGTGCAGCTCCTCCTCCAGCACCACGCAGACGTCAATGCCATTGATTACAACGGCTCTTCACCGCTCCGCTGTGCGCTCCAATCTGCCGTCCTCAAACAAGAGCTGCAACCACAATGCACCGTGCAAACTCTGCTCAACCATGGCTCCCACAGAGTCTGGCCTGGGGCCTTCATCAAGGTAACCAAGGTGTCCTCTACAGCCCGCCCCAACACAACGTTCGAGCCCATCCCCATCCCCCTATCCTCGCCCGGCTCCACTGGCTCCCAAGCCATAGTGGATCCAATTCAAGTTCCTCATTTTCGCATTCAAATCCTTCCACAGCCTTTATCCCTCCACTCTACTTCTGCCACCAACCACAACCCTACTGACTTGGCTGTTCCCTCCAGTTACTGGCCTGTTTCCGGACCCCACCCCCAAATCGGCAGATAGAGGGCTTTCAGTCATTCAGTCCCCACTCTCTGGAACTCCAACCCGGGAGTCCCTCCGAATCAACCCCTCACTCCCCAAATTTGAAGTCCACCTCAAGACCTCTGTGACCTCCGCCAAACCTGGTGACTTGGCCATTCTCTACACTCAGTGTTTCTGACCATCTTTGGTTACCTTTCTCCTTTGTAAGTAAACACAGTCAATGTTTGTACAAAGAACAATAACCCAAGATGCAATAATGTAGCAACCAGGTTATTAGAGAATTAAGTATTGATCATTTATCAATCCCCGGGAGAGCAGCAGGCAGTCATTCAGATCTACATCTCATTGATCTTGACTGAACACTCTATTATTATTGGTTATTGTGTAAAGCCCACATCAATCAAATAGTACATATACCCTTTGTGGTTAAAGCTCATAAGCTTGTTACAGTAGAGCAGGTTCACCAGCAGTGTTTAAGGTATCCATGTGATGGATGCCAACTAAAATATTTTCTTTCAACCGTTCTCTCCACTTCTCCTTATCAGAAGGCACATTTCTGGTAAACAAAGTCAAGGCCACAGTATTTTTCTGCAGTTAACATTTTGTTACCATTTTATGTTAACTCTGCTTACACCTCGCTACACTCTCCAGCTCCTATCCCAGCTCGGGTGCCCAGCCGGCGCTGTGAGACATCTTCCCGATGTGAAGGGTGCTATATAAATATAAATTGTATTGTATTGTACCTGAGACCCTGACTGTAGATCCTAGCCTGGGTATGGGATTAAGCTCATGTGTGGTTGTGTTTTCTTCCTTTACAGGTGCTGAAAAGCTGTGCAGTTTCCCCTCAAACCATTGAAGTCTTGTTCAACTCCTATCAGCAAATACAAGTCACCGAGGAGTGGCCAGAGGTTGTCCCTGAGGACATACTTCAGGTACAGACTCATCAGAGTGCGCAGGGAGATCATTACTGTAGCTCTCTGCCTGGCTCAGCACTCTCACCTCTGAGTGGGAGTGTTGTGCGCTAGACTTCAAAAAGGCCATTGAAAAAGTACCACACTTAGGGTGACTTAGGCTGATGTCAAGGAGATGGTTGTAAGTCAGTAACTGGCAAAAAGGCAGGAAACAAAGGATAGATATGACGGAATCCAGCCAGCCCTCTGTGGGGTCTCAGTAGTCCTGAGCAAGGTGGGTCCGCTGTACTCCAGGGCACCACTGATGACAGCACAGTCAGCCTAGCTCATCTGCAGGACTTGGAAGGGCAGACCAGTCACTGGGGACAGGGAATCATCCCACTCAGCTCCTGTTAACCCTGCAAGGCAAAACCCTAACAAGTAAGGTGGTCCTAGCTGGACAGGCAGCAGGAAAGCTTGCAAAAAACAAAATATCAATGGTTTTAGCTGGTTAGACTCAAGTAGTACCCCAATGCACACTCTGGGTCCTCAAGCCTTAGTTCTTGCCGATCTGTGCCTAATATTTTCCAGAATTAGGTAAGCAATATGCGTCCCTCCAGAAAGAGAGAGTGCACATTCCGTTCCAACAATCTGTGTAATCTCCATGTGATGGGGCTCAATAGCTCCCCATCCCCAAGAGGATAGAGTTCAAAATCCTCATCCTTGCCTTCAAGGCCTTCCATGACCTTGCTCCTTCTTACCTCTGTGATCTGGGCAGACACATGACAGATGAAGTTTAATGCAGTGAAGTGTAAAGTGATGCATTTTGAGAGGAAGAATGAGGAGAGGCAATATACACTAAATGGTACAGTTTTAAAGGGGGCTCAGGAGCAGTAGAAACCTGGGGGTTCACATACACAAGTCTTTGAAGGTGGTAGGACAGGTTGATAGAGCTGTTAAAAAAGCATATGGGATTCTTGGCTTTATAAATAGAGGCATATGGTACAAATGGCTGCTGCATTTTGCCCACAAAAATATACAGTCAATCCACTTTACAATATATACTATGAAGCGCTTTGAGATGTCTCGAGGATGTGATGAAGCACTACATCAAAATGCAAGGATTGTTATTATTATTATACAGTACAACAACAGCAAGGAAGATATGCTAAACCTTTATAAGTCACTGGTTAGGCCTCAGCTGGATTATTGTGTCCAATTCGGGGCACCACATTTAGGAAGGATATCAAGGCCTTGGAGAGGGTGCAGAGGAGATTTACCAGAATAGTACCAGGGACGAAGAACTTTAGTTATGTGGAGAGATTACATAAACTGGAATTGGTCTCCTTAGAGAAGGTTAAGTGGAGATATAATAGAGGTGTTCAAAATTATAAGGGGTTTTGATAGAGTAGATGGGGAGAAATTGTTTCCACTGGCAAGTGGGTCAGTAACCAGGAGACATAGATTTAAGATAATTTGCAAAAGAACCGGAGGGGAGATGAGGAGAATTTTTTTTACACAGAGTGTTGTTATAGTCTGGAATGCAATGCCTGAAAGGGTGGTGAAACAGATTCAAAAGATTCAAAAGGGAATTGGAAAGATACTTGAAAATAGAAAAAAAATTGCAAGGATCTGGAGAAAGAGCAGATGAGTGGGACAGATTGGGTATCTCTTCCAAAGAGTTGATACATGCACAATGGGCTGAATAGACTCCTTCTGTGCTGTAATATTCTATGATTCTATGATTCTAACAACATGGATTCACAGACTTGGTATAAGAGAGTTATATTTACAGAGGACACCAATTTGGGGGCAGCTATGGAATCAGTGGAGGCAGCAAAGGTCTCTCTTACAAGAGAGCTTGATAATATATGCACATGGGCTGATAACTGGCAAATAAAGCTTAATACTGATAAATACATGTATTCCAAATAGGATGTAGAATAGGAAACACAAGTGGTCCATGGAGGGGATTAAATTTGCCAGTGAGAATCTGAAAGAGTTCTAAGGGTGTTTACAGATATTGCTAAATCAGTTGAGTTTAGATGCCAAGATATCATTACGTTATTGTATGGTGATCTAGTCAGGCTGATTACAGTTCTGGTAACTACAAAGGGAGCCCAGGCCCCAGAGGCAGTGCAGAATGGAGCAATAAGGATGATCTCCAGCGTTAGAGGAATGAGCCATGAGCAATAATCAGACAAGCTAGGGCTCTTCAGTTTTGAAAAGAGACGTCTGATAGAGGGAGCTGATAGTGATATAAAAGATTTAAAATAGAATTGAGACAGTAAACCTCGAACAACATTGTCAGATACCTTACGGTGGCAGGACAGGAGGGCACAGGTTCAGGGGTGTGAAGGATAAGTTTATAATAAGAAGAATAATCCTTGCATTTCATATAGCATCTGATCATGTTATCGAGACATTTCAAAAAGCTTCATGGAATTTACTGTAAAGTGAAGTGATTTCTTATTTTGTGGGTAAAACATGGCAAAAAAAAAGTGGCAGCCAATTTGCATACAGCAATGTCTCACATACAGCCATGAGTGACCAATTTTATTGGAGAATTGTTGGCTAGGATACCCGGAGAAAAACTCTGTTCTCTTTTCAAATAATACCATAGAATCTTTAATGTCCACCTGAACAGGCAGATGGGACTCAGTTTAACATTTCATCTGAATAACAACATCTCTGGCAATGCAACACCCTCACCCAGCACTGCATGGACGGTCAGCTTAGATTATGTGATTCCAAGTCCCAACATGGAGTTTGAACCCACAACCTTCTGACTCAGAGGCAAGAGTGCTACCACGACAATTTCAGACATCCAGAGGGCAATTAACAATTGGAATAGGCTCACCAAGAAGGATGGTGGAGGTCAAGACATTGGCACTCATTTAGAAAACACTGACTGCGGTAATATTGGCGGACACTTTAATGGCGGACTTTGGGGAAGCCTGAGATCAAAAGGGCGAAGATCCTTCTTTTTCTGAATTGATCTTACGTTGAAGCATTGAGTAGCGGGTGCTCCAAGTCACGACCTATATAAATGCAAGTGCTACCTTTGGCATAGTGGCAGCACTCTCGCCTCTAATTCAGAAGACAATGGGTTCAAGCCCCTCTTCGGGACTTAGCATCACATAGTCTAAACTGACACTCCAATGCAGCGCTGGGGGAATGTTGCATTGTCGGATGTGCTGTCCTTCAGATGAAACATTAAACCGAGGTCCAAACTGCCTGGTCAGGTGGAAAATCCCATGGCACTATTCGAAAAGAGAAGGGAGATTCTCCCAGTGACCAGGCCAAATAAAATTGGTCACGCACTCCATGGCTGTTTGTGGGACATTGTTGTGCGCAATTGGCTGCCACGTTCGCCCACAAATATACAGTCAATTCACTTTACAGTGTATTCTGTGAAGCGCTTTGGGACGTCCTCCCGACGTGAAAAGCGCTATATCAAATGCAAGGATTATTATTATCCTGTGAGGCGCTTTGGGACATCTCGATGATGTGATAGGGTGCTATATCAAATGTAAGGATTATTATTATTATAAGTTGTTGTTGTCTTCGTTGCTGAGATGACAGACTGTTGACTCTCTTCATTCTGCTCTTTCCTCTGCCCTCAGGTGCACTGGTCGTTCTACAAGTCACTCTTTGCATTGGCCTCAAGGCCGCGCTCCCTGCAGCATCTATGCCGTTTTGCAGCCCGCAAGCTGTGTGGTGATCAGTGCCAGGCCATCATCCCCACTCTGCCAGTGCCCAGGTGCCTGCATGGATACCTGCTGCTCGAACCACAGGGATGGGTGTTCTGAACATTAGTTGGCTCCTCACCTCCTCCCTCACAGGCCATGCACATCTGTCTCAATGCCAAGGGGAAGCACGAGGTGTTTACCACCTCTGCTGATCTTCTCCCAGTGCAACAAACCCAACATCAAGAGATTCTATGGGTAAGACCCAAAGAACATAAGAACATAAGAATTGCTAGACGAAAGAAGACCAAGGTCTATCCAGTTTACCTTCCAACATTCTGGCAGTTGCATGCTCATTGATGCCCCAAACTATGTCCTAAAACCCAAGATAATACTTCCTAAAAGAAATCAATTTAATTTGCTTCTGAAAGAATCGACTCTTTCTGCTTCCAGCACCTGTTCCATACATTTATTACACAATTAATTGGAATAGTGTTTCCACAATGATGTTTTGAATTTATCCCCCTTCAATCACTGTTCTACAGGAAAAGTGCTATTTTTAATCTATATAAATGACCTGGACTTTTGTACACTGAATACAAGTTCCAAGTTTGCAAATGATACAAAGCTAGGAAAAGTAGTAAATGGTGATGCGGATAGACAGACTGGTGAAATGGGCAGACACGTGGCAGATTAAATTTAATTTGGAGAAATGGAAAGTGATGCATTTTGGGAGGAAGAATGAGGAGAGACAATATAATAATAATAATAATAATAATAATAATCCTTGCATTTGATATAGCATATCAGCTGATGGTACAATCTTAAAGGGGGTGAAGGAACAGAGAGACCTGGGGGTCCATATAAGCAAATATTTGAAGGTGGTGGGACAGGTAGATAAAGCTCTTAAAAAAGCATACAGGATACTCAGCTTTATAAATAGGGGCATAGAATACAAAAGTCAGGAAGTTATTATGAATCTATATAAAACACAGGTTAGGCCTCAACTAGAGTACTGTGTTCAGTTCTGGGCACCACACTTTAGGAAGGATGTCAAGGCCTTGGAAAGGGTACAAAGGAGATTTACCAGGATGGTACCAGGAAATGAGGGACTTCAGTTATGAGGAGAGGCTAGAGAAGCGAGGATTATTCTCCTTGGAGCAGAGAAGGTTGAGGGGAGATTTAATAGTGGAGTCCTGTAGCTCAGTGGTTGGAGCACTCACTTCGCAAGGGAGAGACCTGAGTTCAATTCCAGGCAGGGCAAAACCTTGGGCAAGTTTCCTGACTCCACACACCTAATAATAATCCCTCCAAAACCAAAAACAATAATAAATTGGTCATTTTCAATCTACGACTGTTTGTGGGACATTGCTGTGCGCAATTGGCTGCCGCGTTCGCCCACAAGTATACAGTCAATTCACTTTACAGTGTGATCTGTGAAGCGCTTTGGGACGTCCTCCCGACGTGAAAAGCGCTATATCAAATGCAAGGATTATTATTATTATTATTATTTTCAATCTACGACTGTTTGTGGGACATTGCTGTGTGCAATTGGCTGCTGCGTTCGCCCACAAATATACAGTCAATTCACTTTACAGTGTGTTCTATGAAGCGCTTTGGGACGTTCTCCCAACGTGAAAAGCGCTATATCAAATGCAAGGATTATTATTATTATTATTATTATAGGCATGTTCAAAATTATGAGAAGATTTGATACAGTGAACAGAGAGAAACGGTTTCCACTGGCGAATGGGTTGGTAACGAGAGCGCACAGATATAAAATAGTTGGCAAAGGAACTAGAGGGGAGGGTAAGAGAAATTTTTTTACACAGCGACTTGTTCACATCTGGAATGCATTGCCTGAGAGGGTGGTGTAGCTGATTCAATAACAACTTTCAAGAGAGAAGTGGATAGATATTTGGGGAGGACAAATTTGCAGGGCTATGGGGAGAGAACAGAGGAATGGGATTAATTTGGACCGCTCTTTCAAAGAGTTGGCACTGACATGATGGGCCGAATAGCCTCCGTCTGCGCTGTATAACTCTATGATTCAATCGCAGGCCAGTGACCAAAGGAGCCACTGTTTCTGATATGACAGCTCATCTCAGTTTCACCTGCATTCAGAACATCTCTGTATTAACGCTGAGCTTTTAAACAAAAAATGACCTGGTTTCAGAGGCCGAGGTTACATTGCAGCCCCTATAGAAGAGAAGGGAGTTTCTCCTTCCCGTGTCCTAGCCAACAATACTCCAAATAAAAATTGGTCACTCACTTCATTGCGGGACAATGCTGCGCAGAAATTGGTTGCCACATTCTCCCACAAAACACACAGTCACAGCAATTTACAGTAAATACTTTGAAGCGGTTTGAGATGTCCTCTGGACGTGAAAGGTGCTGTACCAAATGTAAGGATTATTATTATTTTTGGTCATGTTGGTGTCTGACACATGCGGAAACCCATCACTATGCTTAAGAGTATCCAAACCAAATTGAGAATTCCATGCATCCCACATACACATAGAAATCCCAGAGATAGATTGTTGGAATGGAATATTCACTCTCACCCTGGAGGGATGCATCTGCTTACCTAATTCCAGAAAGTATTGGGCGCAGTTTGGCAAGAGCCAAGGCTTGGGAACCCAGAGTCTCAGTTGGGGCATTGCTGAAATTTAACCAACTAAAGCCGCATAGTTTGCCATTGATATTGCTATGATATTGAATCATCCTGGTTCAGTTGGTAGCACTCTGGCCTCTGAGTCAGAAGATTGTGAGTTCAAGCGCCACATCAGGACTTTGAACTCACATAGTCTTCACACAGGATAGCGACCCGGAGCATTTAACATTGGCGGAGTCTGACACCGAGCCAGAGAGGGAGAAGGGAGGTGAGCATAAGGACAATAAAAAGGAAGGGCTTTAGGCAGGATTTGAAAGTGTGGAGGCAGGGAGCAAAGCGGAGGGATTGAGGGAGAGAGCTCCAGTGTTTCGGGGCCTAGTGGCTGAAGGCACGGCCACCGATGATGGAGCGGACGGGACGAGGGACAAACAGGAGGCCAGAACCAGCCGAGAGGAGGTAGCATGTGGTGGAGTGGGGGATAAGTAGGTCGGAGAGGTAGAGAGGTGCATGGCCAAGAAGGGTTTTGGAAACGTGGGAGAGAATTTTTAAATCATTCTGTTTGGTAATTAGGAGCCAGTGGAGTCTGGCAAGGACTGGTGTGATGGGGTATGGAGTTTTGTGTCGTTGAGTATCTGGGCGGCAGAGTTTTTAATTAATTAAATTTTGTGTATGGTGTAACTGGGGAGACTAGTGAGGAGGACATTGGAATAATCCAGCCGGGAAGTGACAAAGGCGAGGACAACATTCAGCTGCAGGAAATCTGCGCTCATCCAACCCTTGATGTCCGTTAAACAAGCTGACAGGACCTCAGCAAACTGGGAGTCACAGCTGGAGGAGGAGAGGAGATTTTGGTGTCATCCCCATACATGTGGAAGTTGACCCCATGTCTGAGGATGACATCGCTGATAGGGAATATGTAGATAAGGAAAAGAAGGGGAGCCTCGGGGTACCCTGTGCATGAAACAAGGCGAGAACTTGTATCTTTAATAGCATCACGGCAAAATCTCTCAAAGTGCTTCACAGGAAACAGATGTTTATACTCCACACAAGTCCCCCCCATACTCCTATTCCTTTTTCCCATACCCCTCTGATCTCCTCTCCTATACTCCTCTATTCCCCTCTCCTATTCCCGTCTCCTCTACCCCTCTACCATACCTCTCTACTTCCTTCTCTCTCATGTATGCATCAGGTTTCCTTTTAATTAGGTGCAATCCTGAAGGCTATCAGAGCAATCACCTCCCAAGCGAGAGGACTCAGGCTCAATTCCCAAGCTGCTAGAAACTTTAGATAAGTTTCCTTACTCTGCAGGCTACTGTTTACCCTGCAGTAAATAGGAACCTGGTTTTAGTCGTTTGGCAGATTGCTTTCTGGGGGTAAATAATCCCTACAAAAAAAATTTGGTCATACAACACTGCTGTGCGCAATTGGCAGCCCCGTTTCGCCCACAAAATATACAGTCAATTCATTTTACAGTATATTCTGTGAAGTGTATTAATGATTTTGCCTTAGCCACAGCCTCCACCCTTTCCTAAACTGCCTATTAGATCTACCAATAGATATTTTATCAGATTAGACCCCTTCGATCTTATTATCACTCATGGCCTTGATACCTCTGATCTGTCCATCACAGACAAGGCCATCTCAGACATTTCCTCATCTACCTCTCCTCCCACATGCCCTTCCCTGCTTCCAAGCCCTCCACCATCTTTTACCGACCTCAGAAAAAGCTTCCACCCGAGGCCCTCACAAGTGCCCTCTCTTCTTCGGATCTCTTCTCCCTCTGGATTTCCACTAGCAGCAATCCTGATGCAGCCTCAAGCTGCCAAATGATCACCTCTCTGCAATCTTCAACACCTTGTCCCCCTGAAATCTAGAATCATGTCTCCAAATCTACTCACTACCCCTGGTATAACAGTCACCTGAGCACCCTCAAAAGCACCTGGACGCTGGAGTACAGGTGGAACAAATCCGGCCTCACAACCACTACTGCCTGCTGTGGCTCAATGATTCCCGTAATTATCCCTCTCGCAGGTCAAAACTGCCTTTTACTCCAAAACCATTTTCGAGGTCAAAAACAACCCAAAGGCTATGTTCTCCACCATCGATCACCAACTCTGCACACTACCCCCCACCTCCCCGCACCCCACACTGCCTCCATCCTCACCTCAAACACCAAGCGCGAACAGGTCCTAGACTTCTTTCTGTCAAAGATTGAAAAAATCCGCTTGGCTGCATTCTCCTCCCCAACGTCCCCTTGTGCACCCGCCCTACCCATAGAACAAGGATGACGCTTGTCAAGGTCACAAATTACATCCTCTCTCTCTGTGACCAGGGCTCCCCCTGCCTCCTACTAGACCTCTCTGCCGTGTTCAATAACAGTCGACCACACTTGCTCATCCTCAACTATACGCTCCCTCTTGGCGATGTCATCAGCGGACATGGGGTAAACTTCCACATGTATACGGATGACACTGGGATCTACTTCTCTTCCTCCAGTTGCAACTCCAGGTCCGCCGATGTTCTCTTGGCTTGTCTGGCGAACATCAGGGCCTGAATGAGCGAAAACTTCCTACACCTCAATGTTGACAAGACGGAGCCATATCCATTCTGCATCTCTGATCTTCTCAACCTTCCCAGTCTATCCCTCAGACTTACTGAACCGGTGTACAATCTTGGTGTCAGGTTCAATCCACAGCTGTCCTTCCTTTCCTACATCCAGTCCTTGATGACCACCTTCCTCCACCTCTGGCACATTGCCGGCCTCTGAATATACCTTACCCCAGATGCAGCCAAAACACTCGTC